GCAGCTGAAACTGATAGTTTCAGATGCACCATAATCATACTGGTCACATATGACATTTTGTTCAGAAATTATTGCTGTGTGCCGCTGTATGCCAGAGAAGTTCAAAACAATCATCAGAACTAGTGTTTTTAACATTACTTGGGTGTTAAAAAAACAAAACAGCAACCATCTTACCTGTCCCTTCAGCTGGACACCTGCTGCCCTTCTTGTAGCTTCATGAAGCACCATCTGATAGGGTAACACCACCAACTATGCAGACACATAAAACAGAGACCATACATATTTTCACTGCAACTCAAATGCCCTTGAAGAAAAAAAAAGAAAAAAAAAGGTCAAGACAAACACATATTGTATACACTACTACAAAGTATGACAAACAGCAATGAATGATTAGAGTACAAAAAACATATGGGGTTACCTGTGCAGGGGGGATAGCGAGGCGTGTGGCGTAATAAGGGCATGAATGAGTTTCCCTGCCCAGCTTCAGCAACTGCTCTACGTCGTGGACTGTTCCCAGAACTTCATCCCTCATCTGCTGCAGTGCTGAAGCTTTATTGTAGGGACACACAGTCTTTGATGGACCTCGCTTTTGTTTCACACCCTCCTCATGATGTTGCTTCTCTGCGAAATGGAAAAAACACATAAAGCTGCAGCATTATAAATCTCTTTTGATATAAAGTGGAATTTGCCCGGACATGGTCTTCTGTAAGATCATATGTTTTTTAGCTGGCAGGTTTAGGAGCTCTCACCATGTTTGTTTTTCTGCATCTCCATGCAGCGGTCATTAATGCGCTGGATGCTGCCCAGGTGACGCACTTCCTCATTGATACACAGATTCTGGAAAAGTACAGTTTGCTGAGTAAATAACATCAGTGTCATGTTTTAACTGGCTGAATACAGGTAATAGCATAATAATAATAATAATAATAGTCTTAGTAGTTATAATTTTAATTATAGTAAGTAAAATACCTGGAACAAACAATCACATTTTGGAATTTCTTTTACTGGAAACAGCCTAGTTTTTCATGGAAACACAAGAATGTTCTAGATCAGGGGTTTTCAACCAGTGGTCCGTTGCCCCCTGATGGCTCACGAAGGCATTGCAGGTAGCCCCAGATCATGCATTCAGTAATGTAGTTTCACTGTAGGGTTTTTTTTTGTTTGTTTGTTTGTTTTTTTTTTACTCATTTTTATGTATTCCTTGATTGTGAATAATCAAACTCATACAAATATATTAAACACTGGTCCTCAAGGTACTTCCTAGTCAGAATGGTGGTCCCTAGGTCCCATTTATTTGAAAACCTCTGTTCTAGATCGGTCTAGCAAATAACACACTTAAAGTCTGACAGTTAATATGTACTTAAATACAAGAACTTTTTGAGTAGAGTGATTACTCAGCAGTCCCCACTGTAATACTGTTAATATCAGTTTACAACAAAGAAAAGTCAAGTTATTAATTACTCAGAGACTGTCTTACAAGGAAATCGCCAGATAGCTCTTTAAGCATTCTAGCTTACACTACATTTAATAAGAAGCCTGAACACTGGAGTGTAAAATCCTGTGAACATTCACCATGGGTCTACTATTATTGCTTGATATTCAAGCAGGTTTTACTGGTAGTGTGTGTGTTAGTGTTTGTGTGTACACATACCTGCCGTGAGCCCAGTGTAACCAGACTAATGTCCTTGCTGAAGGGACTCTTTTGAACCTCGTGGACAAATTGGGCCAGCTGGGAGTGAGTGCGACTGCAGTAGTAAATCTGTCAACATTCAAAATTATACTGTCGTGCTTGAAGGGACTGTGTAACATTCATTCTTATTATCATCATTACATTTTATACAAGTAAAGCACTCGGTCTTACAGCTAGTGTTAAAAATCACACACACCTTAGTAACATGTTCTTCAACCAGCTCATCATCTTCATCATCATAAAATCTGAGCAGGTGAACAAATACACCCTCCTGTCATCATCTGCTCATTTCAAAATCTTACAGTGACATCTGAAGCAACTGATTGACCCAGTGATGTTTGTACTCGCCTGCTTTTGCTCTTTGACTCATCATCGCTCTCATATTCTGCGATAATGAGCTCCTCGTCCTCTTGAACTCCTGGTGCCTGTATTTGTTCCTCTATCCCAAGCTTGAGCAACTTGAATGCTTCATCATCTTCATTGCTCTACACCCATATCCACAAAAATGTATATATTTAATTACGAAGACTCATTAATTTTTGGGTAGTTTTCTGATGTCTGGGCTCTAAATGATGACCTTGTGCAAGACAGTACCTTTCTTTTCATTGCATACTTCAGCTGAACGTTGGTTCTGATCATTTCTAACCGTTCTTCCCTCTTCTTTCTTTTCAGTTCTTCCTCCTGACACACACAGTAACATGCAAAAGCTAAGCAAGGGGAAAGACCACCATTCTCTGGGAATGGTGGTCTTTCCAGGCCAAGGTTACATCTGGAATACATTGATATACTTACCTTCAACTTTGACACCAAATCACGTTCTGCCTTTTTCTGAACAAAATCAGTGACCCAGTCAGGCTCTGCTGGGGTGCTGGTAGTAAAGGACTGAGCAGTGGGAGCAGAAAGAGCTGCTTCTCCTTCCTGCAGCAGAGCAGCTGCCTCCTGTTGCCTCCTCTCCTCATAGTCCATGAGCCAGCTCAGCGCTCCACATATTAGACTCAGTGACTTTCCCTGGGTTAAAGGACATACATACATATACAGTATAAGCATTATTGAAATCTAACAACTCTATGCATGTGCGCATACACACCGTTCCAGTTGGACTTTCAAAGATTCCAACTTTGCCCTGGCCAAGTGCACTGTACAATGCTTCCATAAACTGCTCCTGGATGTTATAGGGCTGGTAGGGAAATGGAAATTGGGTCCTGCCATTCTCCATTCTTGTGAATCTTCCTGGGGGTGACATAACAGCATATGTTCAGACTGGACTGTTCTTCACAACTGATAACGATTTAACTGTTAACGTTAACCCTAATAGGCTACGTGTCTAATACTGAAGCACCCAGACGTGGCAAATTAACGTTACGCATTTGGATTGGATTTTGTTTGTTGCGCAGGTCATTGTAATTTATGATTAACGTAAGGTTAGCCACATTTTACTAAAATAACTAAATTCAACTCGACTCGAAGTCAATCTACATTTAACGGCAGGCCTTTCCGGGGTTCGTCTACGTGTTACGACAAAAAGCTAAGTAGTCTCGGAAGGAAAACTTTAACGCCATAAGCTATCGCAAATTCATAGCTAGCTAATTCACAACCAGCCCAGGTCCCTTTATTAGCTGAGGTCTTTTATTTGCTGTTATAATAACACCTCCAGAGTTTGCTGCTGTATACTTACAGCAGATGTCTTATGCAGAAGCTCTAACTTCAGTTGCCGGGTATTCGGTTTCCGCGCCGACAGACATTAGTGGGGACAGAATCGGACCAATAGGGAGCGAAATAAAACAAGAAGCGTTTGTTTTATTGTACTGCAATACATGCGTGGGTGGGAATATGTACGCATGTGTCAAATTTTTGTACTTTAACGAAGTACTATTTGGTTGGCATTTGAATAGTTTGTAGACTACATGTACGCCACTATTAATCATCTACGTGGCGGCGTTCTATGTCTCTGCAAATTGTGTGTTTGCTCTGCTTTTTTCACGTGCACCGCATCTCCGGGAGAAGCTTATATATTAAGAAACGTCACCAACGCGGGTTCATTTCCCTCGGTTCTTACTAGAATGTCTGGAAAGTTCTATGCCCTGAGCGCTTGTCAGATCAGATGCAGAGCAGCGAGGCAACGTGGACTTGAAGTGATCTAATCAGAAGCTTATTTTCTACATGGATACGCAAGTGTGATTGGTGCACAACAATAGTGGAGTCTCATAACAGCCAGCGGGATAGTCCAACGTGTATTCTATGTAAAATAACATTCACAAATAGCTAGTTAGCTAAGTAAGGCTAACGAAGAGGAGAGCGTTAGCAGTCGTTAACTAGTTAGCTAGCAAACGTTAAAGTTAGTTAGGTTGTTGCCTGCTGCACTTGATAGTTTGAGAAGTAATTAGCTTTAGCCTCCACATCTGTTAGCCAGCGTTAGTAAGTTAAGATCTGAATTGTGGTGCAGGTCAGAGTAGGTGGAGGAAATCTGTTTCATGACAATGACTGCTGAGGAACAGGCCAGTGAAGGACAAAATACCATCCGAATGGAGGGAGAGGACGTCACACCGAAGAAAGACGGGGGTGTTTTAAAGGTAAATAATAGTGTTTTGTTTTTGTATGTTAATCGTGCTGCCTGAAGGGCTAGCTGGCTGCTCGCTGTTCACTCATTCGGCCAGGCTAATGTAGCTGTTCATATCCTATTCACTGTCGATAAAAGAAGCCAGCGTTGGCTAATGCAAGGCGACTAACTACACTGTTGACAACGGCACTACAATACTTATCAAATTACCAAGCATTGGATTCATAGCTAACTTATTACAAGGGTGTCAACAACATGGAGAATAATTAATTTTATTCCACCTTTCTAGAGTTTCTGGAGCCCCAGAGAAAGGCTAAATGCAAAAGCCGCTAGTGCTGATGGAAATTTAATAACTTCACACAATCATGGGTTTGACTGAGACGTAACAGCACACGTTCATTCACAGTGATGAATTTTCAAAGTAGCAGATGCCAGGATCGGGGTGCAGGACACAACTGTATGGAACTGGCTTCACTGTCTGAAAGAAATGACTTTTGAATGTATTCCCTACATTCTTCTAATGAAATTCTTATCTTGTTTGTGTTTTTCTAGCTGGTGAAAAGGGAAGGCACAGGCACAGAGCTGCCTATGTTGGGTGACAAGGTGTTTGTACACTATGTGGGCACACTTGTGGATGGTACTCAATTTGACTCGAGCAGAGGCAAAGAAGATAAGTTTTCCTTTGAGCTGGGCAAAGGTTGGTTTCATATTTGGCAGAGACCTAACTGTACATAGTTGCACAATATGTGTTGGTAATCAACCTTTTCTGTGGTCAGGTCAAGTAATAATGGCATGGGACATTGGTGTAGCCACAATGAAAGTGGGGGAGGTGTGTCAGCTCATCTGTAAACCAGAGTACGCTTATGGATCTGCAGGCAGCCCTCCTAAAATACCCCCTAATGCCACTCTTGTTTTTGAGGTAAGTTTCAGGAGTATCAGTTGAAGGCCAACAATGTCCCTTAACGACTGAGTCGTTGTAGCCCGGTATCATCCATCTACAATCCTGTTTTGAGATCTCTGCTCAAACATGCTCACCAGGACAATAGGTGTCGGTCGACAGGGGAGGATTCAAAGACAGGTAACGACGCTCAATGATACTGGGCTATAACGACTCAGTCGTTAGGGGACATTGTTGGCCTTCAATGGACTGAAACACCACCAAGGGGGATAAATATCTCCGGCTCAACGCCAGTCAGTCAGAACTGATGAAGCCTCTTGGATGAGAGGTGAAACGTCTTCGACCTAGAAATCTAGTCCAGTTGAATTTTTCTAAGTTTTTTCTGTTTACTATGACCTGGATGACTGAGAATCTGCACAGACATTTCAGGAATATCAGGCTATTTTAATTATTTATTATGTTTGTGTTTGAAATACACTCCCCTTTGGCTGAAAAAAGATTAAGATGACAATTTGTGTTTGCACGCTTGTAGGTGGAACTGTTTGAATTTCGAGGTGACGACATAACTGAAGATGAAGATGGGGGAATCATTCGTCGTATGCTAACTAAGGGCCAGGGATATTCTAAGCCTAATGAAGGAGCTGTTGTTGAAGGTAGCCCATCCAGACAGTGCTTTTTTTTTTTGCTAACATTGAAACAAATTGACCTGCTGATCAGGCTATCAGTTTAAAAAGTAAAAAGAGCAACATTGAGAGAAATATATAATATGAAATGTAAAAGTGATTAGCATATTTCATTTAAGTTTGTTGTACCCCTGTTTCTGAAAAGCAGTACTAGTGTTAATTTTAAGGTAAGAAAAATTTGAGGCTTTTGTGCTTTCCATTCAGTGGCACAGACTCGGTTTTCAATGCTGTAACAAAGGTAATGGATGACATTGTTGGAGCAGTAGTAATAACAGTCTGCTTCATTAAAGTTACATAAACTAAGATTTTATAAATTGTCTGATAAATTGAATGAAAATAGGTCAGGATGTGAGGTTTGTCAGCTATACTTACAACACTATACTTATTATGCTTAATTATACAGTAGTTAAAGATTGTAAGGAAGCATCCAGGTGAAAATCCATTGCAAGTTTTATGAATCAAAGCAGCCTGCAACCACTGCACAAACTCTCACAGACACCTTGCAGTTCTTTTAGTGGCAAGGGGGTGTGTTTGATACTTAAATGCACATCTAGAGCTGCAACAATAATTGAATCATTTAAAATCGCTGATAAAAATAGTTGGCAGCCAATTTATCAATTAGTTGGGTCTAGTCATGTACTGTAGCTGTGTGAGATGGCCCAGAGCAAACTCGCTGGATCATCAACTGTTATTGTGTTGTATATGAAAATCTCTTTAACTTCAAAACAAATTGCGGCCTGTTTTCAATGCGGAAGCAATGCCCACTCAAGTGGTAAACAGGTTTTCTTTATAAAGCATACTTCATCTTCTTAAAGGAAAAAAAAGACACTGTTCAAGTTTTGCTTTGCTATTGATATGGACTAGCAGGACTAACTTGACTACAACTGTGTATGCATAGATTTAGGTTAGCTTTTCAGCAATTCATTTGCAGGCATCTTGAATAAAGCAAAACAACTGTGTTTTTCAATCTCTTTCAGTAACTGTGGAAGGCACCTATGAGGAACGCATGTTTGATGACAGAGAACTGAAGTTTGAGATTGGTGATGGAGGGAGTCTTGGCTTGCCAGCTGGAGTGGAGAAAGCTATCATGGCTATGGAGCATGGAGAGGAGGCACTCTTCACTATTAAGCCTAGGTATGCCGTCATGTGCCAGTGTGAACATTTACCGTTCTGTAGTAGTGATGGCAGCATTGCCAAATGTAAATAGTTACTGATATTCCTTTAAGGACTTAAGTGTGTTGAATTTACCAGGTGAACTAAAACAGGTTTTAGATTAGTGGTTAAAAAGAATTAAATCTGGCCAACAGTCGGCCACAGTTCTAAGCTGTGATGTGGCATGAATAACTTCACCTGTAGATTTATCTTTTCTATTTTAGAGTGCAGCACAATACACCATAATATTCTTAAGTTAAACTGCAACAGATAATGCAGCATTTATACATGTGGCAATGATAAGTGTCTTTGATTTTTAGATATGGCTTTGGGAATGTGGGAAATGCAAAGTATAACATTCCCGGTGGAGCAACACTGCAATACAAGATCAAGCTGAAAGCTTTTGAGAAGGTAAATAGATCACGGTGCCATGTTGTAAATAAAGCTTGGCTTTAGTTGGCTAATTACATGTCGATTGTGCAAAGCAACATTTTCCCCTCTAAGAAGTGATGAATTTGTTCTTTAGGCTAAGGAATCATGGGAGATGAACACAGCAGAGAAGCTGGAACAAAGCATCATTGTCAAAGAGAAGGGGACACAGTATTTTAAGGTATTCAGGAGGGCATTTAAGAAGCATACACAAGAGAATTTTAACAGATTAATACATTGTCATGTTTTCTAATGCAATGATTATCTGTTTCAGGAGGGAAAATACAAGCAAGCATCACTTCAGTACAAAAGGATTGTGTTGTGGCTGGAACATGAATCTGGTTTGTCAGAGGAGGATGACAAGAAAGCCAAAGCATTGCAGCTAGCTGCACATCTGAACTTGGCCATGTGCTTCCTTAAACTACAGGAGCCAAACCTAGCCCTGGAAAATTGTAACAAGGTATCTTATATCTCTTGTGTGGGAAGTGTGTTAATCCCTTGATATATTGAGGATAGTTTCTGTTATATAGGCTGAATAGTTTACTGCAAGTGTTGATTATTATTATACTTAACTGTGCTGTGTTCATGATTGTAGGCTCTGGAGTTGGATGCATCCAGTGAGAAGGCTTTGTTCCGAAGGGGAGAGGCGCTCTTTGCTATTAAGGAGTTTGACATGGCAAGAGACGACTTTCAGCGAGTTGTTCAGCTATATCCTGCCAACAAGGCTGCCAAGAGCCAGGTATAAAGCCACGTGTCTTAAAGGATAATTCTTGCAACTTTCAACCTGTATCTTACTTTGTTTTTGCCATCATGTCAAATCTACAAAAGCTTTAGACAAATAAGTGAATGTGTCCCTTTTTATATAGTCAAGACTCATCATGAGATCTGACTATTGTTCTTTAATCAAAATGATGAAATATTAGATATGTTATATCTAGCATGAGCTAATTTGTCAAATGAACTGGTGCTGCATTTATTTGCTGTTTATGGAAAATGTGAAACTATCCAATAGTGGAAAACATTTGTACACTGACAAATATTTTGTGTCTGAAAATATGGCTGTCTGACCTCCTTCACCATGTCCTTCCAGGTGGTTCTTTGTCAGAAACGTGTGAAGGAGCAACACGAGAAGGACAAACGCATCTACGCCAACATGTTCCAGAAATTTGCAGAAAGGGATTCAAAGGTAATGTATAGATTTACAACAGTCACAAGAGATTGGGATATGCATGAGACTAAGATAAGCATAAGACTGACTGAAAAAAATGTGGTTTATGCTTTTTCTCTCCTCATGAACAGAAGGAAGCAGAGAAGGGGAAGAGTGAGAGCAAGGAGGGCAGCGATGATGAGATGGAGGTTGAGAAACGAGAAAAGGAAGATGCGAGTGAAGCAAAAGCATAGATGAAGACCTGACTGCACCACGGTTCATCTGGACTTAAGACTTTTGTATCTTCAGCTATTGTGTTTAAAGTGTGAGTCTGTGTGTATCTATGAAATGTGTGTATGAGAATGAGTGTGTGAGTCAGAGCATTGACTTTGGGTGCATCTTCGCTGGCTTTCTTTGTGTCTGGGCTTTTTGCTGTGGCAGCTAGCCGAGCGGATGTGGCTTCTCCAGCGGATGGCACTGAGAGACATGGATATAATAAATGAATTGTGTGCCACCACCCCACTTCCTTGAACTCTTTCAACCCACAGCTTTGGGCTGTACATTTGTTTTTAATGTTTTGGATAGTAAAAAAAAAAAAAAGGTGCATCCCAAGTGTTATGAGCAGAATTTCAAACCCTCACCCATAAAGGGCTAGACCATTCCCGTTGCACTACCCAGTCTTCTTTACCCTTCCTCACACGTTTACAATCTATCCAACCCTCATCTCATGGACCTACTGGTCAGTTCCTGGAAGTGTGGTGGTTGTGTGCATAGATATGTTTCTGAATGTTCGGAGTGCCTGTTTCCCACAGTACGCATGTAGCAGCACTGTGGATAGCTGGGATAATGAGATGTTCGCCTTGAGTAGCTGTCAGACTTCAAGCTTCTCTCTCAGTCTAAAGCTGGATCTCCCTTATAGCCCCCAGGGTACAGGACTGTTCATCTTTGCTTTGGAATTATTGGCTTTTACTTATTTTTTTTTCCTAGTGTTGTGCTTGTGAATTCTATATGGTTCTCAAAATGACTACAACCAATTACCTAACTGGAATATGTGTATTTTAAAGCAGCTACAGTAGAAAGGATATTAATGAGCTTCTCTTGGACACACTCAAGTAATAAACATTTAAGTCTTAGTCTTCATTTGCTGTAAAATGTATATTATGAACATGCGTATGTGAGTAATCAGATTTAAGCTGTTAACCACTGTACTGGAGAGGAAGACCTGAGCCCTGTTTAAGCACCTGTAGAAGAGCGAACTAAACTAGGGAACTCGTCAAAAAAGAGCTTTGGCTTGTGTGTTGAATTTATCTTTGTTGAAAGGGTCGCTGTTTGGTCTGCCCTGACAGAAGGAAGTAATAAACAATAGCTACAACTTGATGTGTGTGTGATAGTGTTGATTGGTCTTGTCTGTTCCTCGCTGTTACCATTTGTGATGCAGCTATTATCTTTTCCGCCCTGTCTCTTGCTTACAAAGCAAATGTTGTAAGGATAAATATGAGGAGTCATGAGAACTTTTCAAATGTAGGTTGGCCTACTTGGTGCAAAGGCATCTGGGGACACTTATTTTACAAGAGTAGGCTAATTAAGATGCTGTAAATTTTACTCCATAACTTGGAACTTGTTCATACATGTTGTTTTTTTATTGATGGTTGAAATAATGACTAGATTGCACATCAGCATGTTTTTGATTTAGATATTAATTTATTGCACAATCTCCCTGAAATTTCTAAATTTCACATACTTGAGCTGATCATTAGAACCATTTTGATAACATCATTTGTTAATGAAGTGTAAATTGTAGACTACCCCCACCCCCACTGAAGTAAAATGTAAGGACCATTGATAATTTATTGAACCGAAAATAAAAGCCTGAAAGGTAAAGAAAACAGTTGTTATGGGTATTGCTGAACAGGTTTACTTTGCATTAGCTTTTAGAACAGCTGTCTGAAAAATATCATGTCAGCATTACATTTTTTGCACTTTAATATACACTAGTGTAAAACGTGTTTTTACACAGGGGTATGCGACCAAAGGTATCCAACAGCCTACTTGCAGTAATTAGGTCTGATATTGTCACCAAGACACTCTCACGGACACGGCGGTGTCCGATTACCGATGTGTTTTCCCTCCGGTGTGATTACTGGCCAGCAGCACCGGTTGTTCTCCGTGGGTGGGTGATAAAGCAAATGAAGGATCTATTAAGCATTTATTTCCAGTATTCGATTAGCTATTCTACACTAGTGGATCTTATTTTTGTTCTTCTTTGTTTTTCTTTGTGACAATGGCACCCTTTATAGGTTATAACAGGTGTTGTAACAGTACTCTCACCTGGGAAGGTGACAGCTTCTCCCCCCCAGGGCATCAGGTGCCATTGCTGTTCTTTGTTTGTCTAATGGACAAATAAACCACGAAGGAGCGTTTTAAAGAACATTCAATCCATCAACAACTATTTTTCTTTTATTACAAATTTATTTTCTTTGTGTTATGGACAACTTGCATGCTGACCTGATTAGGTCCCATACATCCCTTTATATTTGTCCAAATGTTTATATTGACTTATACAATTGTGTGTTATGTAAATAATATGTCTGTTTTTTAAGCCGAGAGCTGCCGGAAAAAATTCGTTGTGCTATGCATAATGACAAAGATTCTTGATATTTCATCGACATTAAATAGTTTCTGACGAGTTTTGAATCACACTTGTAGGGGAAAATGAATACTCACACGTAGCCTACAGGTTATATGACACGTTTAATGTGCTACTATCCCATATGGGGAACATTGTACAGTCTATTTGTAAATGCAGCTACCTGTTAAATCTCAGACTATGGGTGAAGCCCGTATTTACCCCTCCCTTCACTCTCAGTGCGAGTGGTTTCAAGCTAGCGTTATCACTGTGAGTCCGGTTTTAGATTTCAAAATAAACCACGCCACGAAAAACATGTCAAAATGTCTACTACAACGTAACAAAATAAAATGTAATTAGGTATTTTATTTTAATATAAATTAACTCCAATGAATTTTAAAACGACTATCCGAGAGCACATGCATCAGTGATAAATGTTTCGCCCCGGTGACATATTCATGCTTTTACTTTGAGGGCAAAGCTGTACCGCTTCCTTTCTGTTACCTTTGGTCTGTCTTCATAGAGTTGTGAGCTGAGAGGCTGGTGTGAGATTTCACTGTTTACTTAGTTGTTTGCACTGATTCGTGTGCGCTTTATTTGGGATTAGAAGGAACAGGGTGAGGACAAGCAGCAAGGCGCACGGTGTAAATAAATAAAAAATCAACATTGGTAAAGCTCTTTAAAGTCTTAAATGGTCGAGAGAGTTCAGCGGCTACCCTAGGTTATTGTGGGAATTTTTCGCGGGATGAAAGTTGCCACCAGGGGCCGCGCGCATTGGGGATGTCCAAGGCACCGGTAGTGCACACCCACTAGGAACAGCGGTGGGCTGGCTGGAGGACGTGCTCACCGTAGGGTTCAGTCCCTACTGATGACAAAGAAAGTGACCCAACCGATGAATTACTTGGGACGAGGTTATGCCCGAGAGCCAAGATGCTATTGCCGTTTTTCCCCACGAAGAAACTGCGACGCAATGGCAAACATGTTCTGTTCGGGGTGATTCTGCTGGTCGGAGCTGTGGCCGTCTACCAAGAGATAGCTGCTATAACAGCATGGAGCAGTGATACCGGTAAGTGACAGGTCTTAGTCTACAACTGTCTTGTAAACTTGAGGGAAAACGCACGTACAAATAATAATAAACAAACTGCTAAATGATTATTTTTATTTTCATTCCTTACAACATTCCTTTTGCCTTATAAAGCACATTGAGAGCCCTTGTACCCGAGTCAGATTCCTTGGCCAATAAAGCTTATTTTGATTCTGATTCTCAACTGGCTCAACAGCCTAACAATATAAAGAGAACATATATCAAAGGAATATGCTAGTTTCTGTTTTTCTGGACACTCAGTAGATCTTTAGATCACTGAAATGCGTTATGAAGTACCTTCAGATGTTCTCTGTAAGTCTATATGTGAGTATTAGCAGGAATATATGCGGTTCTACTTTTATTTGCCCGAATGACACTGGATGAATTTGCATTGGAATCATTTGTTTATATTTTTATTTATTTTTTTGCTACGGAGTGAGGGCATTTTGGCCGGTCCTCACTTTGTGAAACACCTTTTTTTTTTTGGGTTAACACTTGGTTTTAGGGTTCAGTTTAAGTTTAGGTTAGGTTTAGGGTAAAGGTGATGGTTAGGTATTTACTTTTGATGGTTAAGTGTTAGGGTAAGGGGCTAGGTAATGCATGTCCTTACAAAGATAGAAGTACAGTGTGTGTATGTTTTAGAAACAGAGAGAGAGAGAGAGCGAGTGGGGGGGAGGTCAGGAGGTCAGAAGGAAGTGTAGTCTCACACTGGGAAACCAAACATCCTGCCTTTTACCTTATTTACACTTCAATTTACCATCTGGTGTCATTTTACCGATGCAAATTTACATAAAACCTGCTAGAGAAGTCAAGCAGGTTTCTGCCCATTCCTTGAGTGAAACCTAATCTAGTATTGTTAAATGCATAGCATACATAACATGAAGCTAGTCCAGGTAACAGAAGATGATGTTACAAACAGGAGGCAATGTAGCAGCTGATGTGAAGAGTTTTTAAAAGCTGTGAAACAGTTGAAACTTAGATTGTTATTTAAAATGAAGGGAGTTGTGCCCAATGTAGCACTCACACTGCTTCTATAATAAACAATGATGCATGTTTTCAGTCATTTGAATAGCTCACTAGGAGCTTAAAAACTCAGTGTTTAAAAAGGGCTTACCTGTTGGCTGGATGTATTTTTTGTGCTCTCTGTGGAAAGTGAAACCCTCTAAAGTTTTATTCAATCAACTGAAACATTTCAGCTCTTTGTCATGGAATTTCACCAAACATAGAAATGACTAATTTGATGACTGAATAAATAAAACACACATGCATTATTGGTGCTGGGGTGAATATTTCGAAGAAAGGCAATAGCAGAAGGGTACTGGATAAATGTGGAGGAAGATAAAAATACTCCTCTCTTCTTAACCACTGTTCTAGAATTACTTGTGTTTCTAAAACTGGCCCTTGTGGCTCAAGGGTATGTGTTTGGAGATCTGCACCCTGATAATGATAGACTTTGAGTTCGCAAGCCCTGTAACCCCATTTCACTCACTCACACCACAAGCTCATAAAAACACAACAGTAAGGTCCTCTTTAAAAACGCACTGCTCTGTCATTTGAATGATGATGTAAGGATCCAAGGTGCAATATTTCTGTGTATGCTCGGCCAGAGTCCCAGAGATTTTCGCCAGCATAGGCGTGCCATAGTGAACACTGTGACCGAGATGAATTACAATCACTGGTCATCAGCGCTGAATTGGAACAAGTGGAGAGGGTGGGACTCTGTTGACACACTGGGCTTCATTGTTCATGCAGCATAGGCCAAGAAGAAATGCATCAGAAAAGCATCTTGCATAAGAAAGACTGGAAATTTAGCAATGCCTACTGTATATTGAGACTTATTGTCAAGGATCAAGCAAGTTACATTTATGAGACTGGAGGTGATGGTGCTCTGCATAGCTTAAGTCATTTTCAGGAGTAGTTGTTTTTCATTGGACTTTTAGATTGAAATGTGTTCAAATTCATCCTGATTATAATTTTTATTCATTTATTTATTGTCATGTAGGAGCAGATGTTAAATAATTTGCAACCCAAAACATCACATATAAACACATGGCTGGGTTGCAAAGAGTAATGCCATCTTTACACATAAGCTTTGATTAAATGCTGGCTCTGCATTATGTTTCAGCTGTTTACACCTGGTCAACAAATATTTCAATCAATAAGATAAAGATCCCGTTTGCCTAAACTCAGGTTCGGATAAAAGAGATCAGATGCCCTAACTGCAAAAGCGGTTGCTTTTCTGTGGTTGTAGCTGAGCCACTTTTTCATCCTGTGATTTCACAGATGTAAACAACAATGGGCACCACCCATACAAAGTAGATTACGCCACATTATGATTTTGGATTAGCATTTTATTCAAACAAGATAATAAAAAGCCAGTACAACCTGCTCCATGTTCTAGTCAAGTCACATCTTTCAAATTAGTAGAAGAGGCCAAGTGACAGTGTTGCCTAAATGTGACAACTGCTGCTTATTTGCATATTTGCCAGTCCTACACTGCTCTAATTGTTTTCATTCACTCCCCAGGTATGAATTACAAGCATGGAAACAGCTGGAGAACAATGTTTAATGAAGGGGTAAGGACAGTGCATGAAAAAATAAGTGGTAATAGAAAATATGGTGATGCAAGAGTCTGTGTACAGAGGTGGAGGAAATCAAGCTAAAGTCATGTGTGTTTTCCAGGTCAGAAGGGACCATCAACCAGACCATATGGAGGATTCAGCTGCTCGGCGCTGCAGCTATACTCCACAACCCTGGAAACCAGAGGTGTGTGTGTTCACAGTGCTCACATTCTTAATCTGACTAGCCTGCCTGGGCCTGCCCATTTCCCCCCAGCTCAGTGCATTTGCTTCTGTGTGCAGTTTGTTGTTTGCTTTAGTAGCTTCCTATGCTCTGTGTTGGCATCATCATATTTCCACTATATTAAGCAGGGCTGTGCATTGACCAGTTGCTTGCACCTCATATTTCATGTTTACAGTATCTGTTACTGTAACCATTATAACCAAACTTCACATTAACATTGTAATAGTCTCGGTGATTATGTTTGTGTCGTTGGCATATTAGTCTTGTTTTGGATGTTGTATGCACTCTAAAAGCTCTTGTCTAACCTGTTGATTCACAAAGTTCTAGACCCTATTAGAGTTAAGTCCTACAAAAAAAATGTTATGTTTCTCACAGGTGGTTTGCATATGACATCACATGACTGTGCTGCTGTGGCGTGTCAGGTTCATTGTCTCACCCCTTGTTGAAGGGTCTTATTTTGAAGATACTTCCTGGTTTTACTGTCTCACCAGCTCCACTTCCTGGGTTCAGGCCAGGGTACTCTCTGACTCTGCTTTCATCTCTGGCTGGTGTGGCTGGGGGCAGCTGATCTGCTGCACCTGCCACATTGAAATCACCTGTGGCTTGTTGCTCTGCCCATATAACCAGTTTTCCCGCCCCTGTTCAGATGTCAGGTTGTCATACTTGCTGCTGGAAATGCTACCCAGTTATCTCATGTTCATACCTTAAATCCTGTCACCAGACCCATACTGTGCCTGTTACCCTCTGCCAGCCTAGTGCTTGCCACTTGCTGTGCTGCTGTGTGTCCTAGCCATCTTCGGTTTGAGATTTGAAAACTTTCCTTGTAACTTGTTTCCTGGCCAAGAACTGCTGCATGTTTGTGACTTTGCCTGTTTATCCTGTGCTGTGGGTCGGCTACTGAGCCAGGTTTTTACTTTGGTGCCTGTTTTCTGACTACTGGCTTTGCATACCATCATTGTGTGTTTGCCCTCTGTGTATTTTATGTGGCTGGCTGATGAGGACTGTGTTTGTTTTGCTTAGGTGCTTAATCAAACTGTATGTCTGAGTTGTTGTTTGTTTGTTTGTTGATGTTTCCCTGTTTGTTCAGGACACTTAGTGCCATCTACAGCTGCTCCTTTCTTAGATATTTTCTCTAATTCCTATAAAATCCAGTGGGACCTGTTTGAGGATTGCTGGTGAGTTTTTCTTGTCATCTGTCACCTAGTCTGCTTAACCAAGCAACCCTCAGGGTGTCCCTCATCTCATACTCCCTTTGAAGCTAAGCTGTACTGTGTCAGTACCTGGATGGGAGACACTGCAAGGAAGAGACCTCAGTCTGTTACCACCTGGCAACCCTAGTTCTTGTCTGAGCACCACGGGTATCTTTATTCACATTCCTGGAGCAACTCAGTCCATACCTGTTAAATGAACCTCAAACTTTTTCAGTACCTTGTGAGTTGTGAAAAACTGCTGAAACTTGACATGCAGGAAGTGGTTTTCTACATAAGTAGCACTATCACAATCTCTTAAAATGCCTGTAGTTTGCAATTTATGGTTGGTCAAATCGTTCACACAGGAAAAGCAGACAAAGCTTTTGAGTACTGAAAGTTAATTGTTCATAGGAGTGCAAGAAATTAACTGAAAAATGCCTGTATTGTTGATTTCTCCCACTGTTTCCCTTGATGCCACCATCAGTGGTTGGGTCTAGGATAAGGTTGAATTCATGTTAAGTTACTGAGGAGAAATGTATATTGATGAGGGAACCCACTTTGATACAACAGGCAAAAATGGCTTGCAAACCTTTGTCTGGGGCTGGGAGGAGTGGAGTGGACTCATGCTCCGCTGTGCGGTGACCACTTATGTAGCTAGCTAACTGGTACCCTGCTGTGCAGCTGCAGTGACTTCTCCATCCTGTTTTGCGCTGATCAGCGTTTAATACATCCATGGTGTCACTGGACCTTGAGTGGCTAACCTACATTATGAAAATGACTGTAAAGTTAACATCAAGAGGTACCGTGCATTGAATGTTGCTAGGTTAATTCACAGGACCACACACAATGTCTATGCACAAGACAGTATGCCTTGATAGCAGGGCAGTCTTTTTAATTCTGTTGAAAAATCACTCCATAACGTGAGGCTCACATCCCACGTGTGATTTTCTGTTTATACCTTTTCCTGTAATATCCTTTCAACTAGCACAGTACGGACTTGACTCCATCTCTTCATTGGTTTTCACTTCCTGCCTTCCATCTGAGTTTTGTGCATCATAATCACGTTTGCAAACCACCTATTTATATAAGTATTCAGATCCTGAATTCATGAATTACAATTCCCTTTGAATTACAGCTGTCTTCTTGGGTAAGTCTCTACAAGCTTTGTACACCTGAATTTGAACGGTTTATCCCATGTTTTGTAGCAGGTTCAAATGCAGTCAGGTTTAATGGAAAGCATCTGAACTGCCATCTTCAGGTGTCTTAACAGATGTTATTTTTTTGTTTTTCTGGGCTTCCCAAAGAGTGTCAGTGACTTGGCCCTTCTGTATGCTTTAGGTCACTGTTGTGCAGAAAGTTGAATCATTGGATCAGTCTGAGGTCGCCTCCACTCTGGAGCAGGTTTTCTACAAGGACCTCTTTATTTGTTTGCATTGATTCTTTCCTCAGTTTCAACCAGTCTCCCTGTTCCTGCTGCTAGAAGCATGACGCTGCCATCAGCGTGCTTCACTGCAGGGATGGTATTAGCAGGCGATGATCAGTGCTTGGAATTCTTGCCAAAGAGTTCAATTTGTGTCTCATCAGATGAGAGAATCTTTTTTTTTCTCATGCCAACTCCAAGTGTCCGGCCATATGCCTTTTGGTCACAGTGAGTTTCATCTAGCCACTCTACCATGAAGGCCTGACTGATGGAGAGCTGCTTGAGATGGCTGTGCTTTTGGCAGGTTCTCTCATCCCTGCAGAGGACTTGTCAGAGGAATTGTGAAGCTCTGTTAGACTGACCGCTGGGTTCTTGGTCACTTCCTCCTTGTTGGGTGTTTGGCTGACAGACAGCTCCAGGAAAAGGCCTGGTGGTTTCAAGCTTCTTCCATTTCACAGTTATTGAGGTTACTCTGCTCCTGGGGCCACTCATAGCATTAGAAACTTTTATTTCCACTTGCCTAGATCAGGGCAAAGGTTATAGGTTCCTTTGTTGATTAGTTTTTGTCCTGACCTGCAGTGTGAAAAAAATACTAATACCATATTAGTTGAGCTTTATCTATTTTCCCCACTCCTTTAATCCAACTAGTTGAAGGGTATTTGCATGAGTAATGTTGTAAATGCAGTGGTAAAATAGTTATAAGGTGTAGATGTGAATATACACAGTGCAAGCTGAAGTCTCAGTGCATGTCGAGAATATAGAACTCAGTGACATGGCACAACTCTCACAGATATAACACTGACTGGAAGGGAAACAAGTGATTGCAGTAAAATAAGACTGAGCTCGACATCAAATGAGCTCCTTAGACTCAAGTGGACTTTGATTGTGGACAAAACGGAGGAAAAGAGGCTTGTTAAATGATTACAAGCAGCACAGAGCCCAATAAGTACCTTGAGTCGTCATTTTAGTTTTTCGCCTGGACCTCAGAGTTTGGGTCATACTAACGATTAACCAGCTGTGCTGATGGCTGCAATGTTTAGCTTGACCACTAATGAAGTCTGATGTATTAGACTGGTAATACTTAGGCTTTGGCTCTGATCTGCAGTATTCTGCCCCATGTTCTGCAGTCAACCACACAGATCAGGTGACATGGCCTCCCTAACAGATGTCACAGAGGTATATATTTACAGGGGATCTGGGCTTGTGCTGAAAATCGACTGCTTCTTCATTTACATGTGCTCCAGTGATAAATGGGGTGGAGAATTCTGGCTGTGGTTTCTATTGTTGTCCAGTTTCTGTGATCCACTTCTCTACTTGTTCAAGCATACAGATCAGCTTAGTCAAACAATGAAAACATATTTACTCACCAAGCTCTAGTGAGGATATGATATGACCTTTTGTTGATGTGATTCGATGCAAGATATGGTGTGTGTACGATTCAATTCAATCACCATACAATTAAAAATTCAATGACAATGTATGACTAGCTGTGGAATACTTGTACTTTATTCCTTTTATTCCCCTTTTCTAGCACTGATTTAATTATGTAAAGAACAACCAGATATATTGACTTACGTTCTGTTAAGCTAACTTATTTACAAAAAATGTGAACTCGCTGGTGTATGGAGACCACAAGATGTATATCGCTAGACAAAGAGACACATTTTGTGACATTTTGTATCACAATACATTGAGTTTCAATAAAATGTCCTATACCTACCAAGCTCTGATATTTGATTTTATTTGCTAAGATTTTGACAGTTGTCTGATTTCTGCTGCCTCATTCATTCAGTTTAGGTAAATGGCATTTAGTTTGTGGTTTTCAAACCTCCTGAGAAATTACATTAAAAGAACAACAACAACAGGTTTCTCTTTCAAAAAAGTGCCTCAGCTTCTTAGAACCCGAGGAAATGTTTTGTAATTTGGGTCAACTTACTCTTTAAGTTAGAAATCTTTACACACAGGAAAAACCAGGTGACAGTTGAAGCAAGTAATCTTGTCACTGCGTTGTCAAGTGGGTATCTAAGGACATGTATTTTTTTGGTTTTAATTGGCTAAGTCCTGTGGCCAGGTAATTGTCTCACTGCTGAATGGCTGCAACACAAACACTGTTGTGCTTCCAGCATCATCATCATCATTGCTGTCTTTTCTCTCTCTCTCTCTCTCTGCAGTATAAAGGAAAGGCCAATCTGCACGTCTTTGAGGACTGGTGTGGCAGTTCTGTAGCCGAACTTCGCAAGAACCTGCACTACCCACTGTATCCTCATGTGAGTTTGTATCTTCCCAGTTCACTAAAAACCTGCTTTGAAGCAGTATGTAGTATTGATTTGATACACAGCAGTTGTGAGCATGTTACCTACTGCCTCATATACTGTAGCTGCCAGCAGGACTGCAGAATTTTTCTTAGTTTCTCAAGTCACCAAGCCCAGTTCTTCACAGTATGTACTGGTATGGTGTGTCGTAATTTTTTTAGCAATATAGTCTGTTTCTAGTTCATGAGATATTTCAACATATAGGAAAGTGCTCAGAACTTTTACTGAAACTAGTGATATCTTTTACACCCATTCAACAAACAAAGATAAGGAATTTTCTTTTGTATAAGTGATGGATATCTGATTTAGGGTGGAAACCTTTTCTTATCTAGCTTTACAGCAAAGGAAAATCGGGCTGTCACATACACTCTGTCATATATGTTTTATTTTTATGAATGCTGCTATAATTTTTGAGCAGAATGAAATGCAACTGGGTGTTTTATGAGGCAAAGAAGAGATTTTAGCACACACTCTGACACAAGTGTAGGCACACACACAGTTGTTTTCACTGAAAGGTGAATTCTACATCCACATGTTATGTCCTCATGTCCTTGGACTCGAGATGGGGTTTCACTGAGTCAACATCACAGCTCATTCTCTGTGTTTCCCTTTCTTTGCTCCTTCAGTCCAGGACTACAGTGAAGAACCTGGCTGTCACTCCTCAGTGGACCAACTATGGCCTCAGGATATTTGGTTACCTACATCCATTTACTGATGGTACAACTTCTGCTGTACTTTTACACTGAGTTCTTGTCTGTGACCACACTGAGTACACGTGTGTCATGTATCTCCCTCTATATCTTATCTTTGTCTACTTTATTCTCTGTGTGTCTCAGGAGAATTTGTGCTTGCTTTGAGCTCTGATGACAACTCTGAATTTTGGCTCAGCACGGACGACTCTCCGCTCAACTTACAATTACTGGCATGGGTTGGAAAGGTACTGTATGTGTCTGTCATCTGTTGGCAGAGGCTCATTTTCTCTTGCTTATCACTGAACTATTTAGCTTAAACATGGGTTTTCTTTTTCTAGACTGGCAGTGAGTGGACAGCTCCAGGTGAATTTGAAAAGTATGCCAGTCAGACATCCAGACCAATTAGGTGAGTTTATTGTCGCATGCACAGCCAAGATCAACAGTGTGAGTGGAAGAGCATAACATAGAGGGCTTTGTGCTTGTGTACATGTCTTTCTGTAGTTGTTATGGACAACTATTTTCAATACCATATCATTTCAGTCTTACACTTCAGTCAGTCATTTGCTGTCACACTTTCAGTAAGCTGTTTGAGGGTCTTTATTTGCATGTTAAGGTTTAACCCCCATATACACAGCTAATATGCTTCATCAGGACTGTGTGGGTGTAGTTTGGTCAGATTCAGTTAACTCCCCCAGGCAACATAAACAACCTAAACAACTGTCATGAGATTGTTGCCCCAACATATTGTATTGTATGTCATATCATTTTTCCCCCGCTAAATCACTTAACTAATGAGAAGAGCACTTCTGAAACAATAGAGACTGAAATCTGTCCTAATAAAACTGTGCTAACTTTAACTTGTGTTCATGTAGGACCCCGTTGCTCAACCTCAAATAGCTTTTCAGGACTTAACTCTCCCCATATATCTTAGAAGTATCCCGACTAGTCAGCCTGTAAAAACAGTTGTATAATAGAGGGACAGACAGAGGTAAATATTGTACCTTTTATTCCACTGCATTTATTTCAGAGCATTTCAGAATCAGATTAATAAAACAAAAAACAGTATTATCATAAGACTTTATTGCTGCTTGGTGGGAAAGCATTTAAGGTAGGTAAGCCTCATCTTTCCCAGTTGCAATATTAAATGCAATGTATACAATAATGCATCAGTAAATATAATACAATAATATGATATACATTTATGAGAAATGTGCCATTGTGCATAATGAATGCTTTTACTTTTGGTACTTTAAGAATATTTTTATGCTAATACTTTTGTACTTTTACAAAAACAGGAACAGTATTTTTACACTGTTGTATTACTACTTTACTTAAGTAAACAAACTGAGTACTTACAGCTTACACCACAGCTTTTAACCACATCAAACCAATGCCTCTAATCTAACTGAAGCATAAGCATTTCTATGTAAAACTGCATATGCGTTTCTGGGAATCCAATCTAGAACTATTTCTATGGTAATTAGTCAGCATTACCGTCATGATATAGATGTGGGGAAAAACTAGACTACCCTGTCTATTACATAGTTATTGCTGGTATGCTGGAAAGCTTTGTCACACAATGTGGGTGTGTTTTACTGTACTGGGCTGAAAATCTTATAGGTGTCACAATCAAAATCAGTTCAGTGATCTGTCCGAACCAGTCACTGGTATTTACAATACCAGTCATTACTGTAATTTTAGCTGTGTTCAGTACTGAAGAAAAAATGGCAGCAGATTGTACATTCTCATCATCATTTATACTCTATGGCTGACGCACTTGGGACCCACACAACAGGTGGGTGTGAAAAGTTTCTTCAGTGTTGTGCATGATAGCCTGAGAGTAGCCTTAGAGAGCAAAGCCTATACAAAATAGAACCATGAGTGCAGTGGATTGTGTTTTTTTTTTATTATTATTAATTCCAAGCATATAATAAAACAGATAAGGGAAAAGAAATCATAATCAATATATACCTCAAAACAACCAGAGAAAACCCAAAAAAGAAAAGAGGAAAAAAAATGTCTCATGATGATAAATGATCATTACATGCTTGCAAAGGAGTAGAAAGAAGTAATACTTATCTAGTTCTACCCCTGATAATCCAAACTATGATTAACCCAACTCAAGTGTTAAGCTAAACAGCTACACTGGTTAAATTCCCGCGGCCCCGAATCACTGCATTCCTTCTAGCCAGAAATCACAATTACACAATTAATAACCAAATTATATACAATAAATTATTCATATCCCACCCATAAATATACCAATAATATCATGATAATATCATTACACTTCCTGTATCCAATACCTACAGTGCCTTGCGAAAGTATTTGGCCCCCTTGAACTTTGCGACCTTTTGCCACATTTCAGGCTTCAAACATAAAGATATAAAACTGTAATTTTTTGTGAAGAATCAACAACAAGTGGGACACAATCATGAAGTGGAACGAAATTTATTGGATATTTCAAACGTTTTTAACAAATAAAAAACTGAAAAATTGGGCGTGCAAAATTATTCAGCCCCCTTAAGTTAATACTTTGTAGCGGCCAACACAAACTAGACTTTTTCAGTAATTTGTTGCTTTGCTTTCCTTCATCAAAAGGACCTAAACAATTGTTAACCTCAGCTCGAAAATGATTTTCAGAACTCAAAGATCTCCGGTACAGCCTAACACTAAACAATTCCTCATGATCTGCCTCTGCAGGGGTACTAATGCCATCGGAGCCACACTGTATAAAACAAATACATGAAACGATCGATTTAATTCATGTAGACTGATGAATGCACTTTTGACTGTTTTGGCATTTTGTGATGTGACTTTGTGGTGTTGGGTGCCTTTAATCCTTGTGTATTTCATCTCACTCCAACAGTGTGTGAATACATTTTATATACTTCTGTTTGCAGGAGTGTGTGTGTGTGACAGACAAATAACATATGTACAATAGGTCAGAACAAAACTATCTGCCCAGTTAATGTAATTGTAATATGATCGTTAAATTGGCTCATGGATAGATGTTAAAACGAACCACCCTGTTGTTTATCTGTATTCAATGGCCCGTGAGTCAAAATTCACACCTAAAGTCATTCAAATGAATCATCATTAGCGTGGAAGGAAAATACTTAAACAAGTCTCACTCATCCACTAACATGAATTAGCGAATTGCGTGTTTGCTTAACTGCAACTAACAAAACGAGGATGTAGGTAAATATTGAAATTCCCTTCGATTGGTGGCCAGTCTGTAAAGCACCGGGTGAGCAGGCGCTCCCTATTGATGAGCTTCAGCTAATCCATCGCATTTCCATCATGTTTATACCTAAAAATTTTGTTTCATAAACTCTTCCTATATTGGCATCCCCCACCCTTACTTGAATCTGATGATTTAATTTTAAATTTGTGCAGTACCCAAAATTACCCTGATTAATAGAGAACAAATAAATAGCGTCTTTCTTGATGGAACAGTTATGGTGGTGTCTGATTTGGCTATAACTATGATGTAGCACTAACTATGAACTTTTACTGTCTTGCAGGCTATTTGCTCAGAGAAGGTACTTTTTTGAAGTCATCCACAAGCAGAATGACAAAGGGACTGATCACGTGGAGGTGGCAGTAAGTAGCTGCACTCAGCACAAAGTCTCAAAAATGTCTTCAGAATGTCACTTTTTAAAATTTCTGTGGTTCCAGCGCTCATGTCATCTTTGTGCTCATTTTTATGTGCAATGTGAGTGATAAAGCGGAAGAGACGTGCAGTTCTTTGTGTTTGTTTTCACACAGTGGAAGCTCCTGGATCAGAGCTTCAGGTTCATGGTTATTGAATCCAAGGACATCTCCCTCTATGTTGGTAAGTACACAAAAGCCCTGTTGCCTGAAAACACCTTACTCAATGAATCTTAATATAGTGATCAGAGTAAATCTCTGCTATACAGTATCTCATATTTCAGGACTGCCTTTATTATGTGTCTAAAAACTGCACAACAAAACAGTGGTTTTGTTGTACATTAAATACAGAGCACTTCTATTATGCTATGCCCTTTGGCTTCACCCAACAGACGAGTCTGCTTTGTTGATGAGTGATGTTGCCCACATACCACAGACGGCTGCAAGCTACCAACACACCCCCACAAAGCAAGACAATGCTGCAGCAGACATACTGAGAGAAGACCCGCGAGATACTTTCTACCAGGGTAAGAGACATCTGTGTGTTGCTCTGTTTTTTTTTTTGGCCACACAGCACATTACTCGCACTTCCATTTCCTACCACACCGGATACAAGTGTTGTGCAAGTAATTTTAAGTGAATGCACAGGTAATTTTGCCTCCGATTGTTGTGTTGTTTCCAGTGCCGCTGATAAACAGCAAGTTCCTGCAAGGGGTTTTGCCTGACTGCTTGTACAAACCCAGCTACACAGTCAAAGACTTCCATCTGCTCCGCTACCAAGGACTGCAGTTTGTATGTATTTGTAATTTTGTTTACCTAAAAGTCTACTGGTTGGGCTCCAGCTCACATGTTTTTGTCAGAATTCAGCATTCACACACAAAATAGCCCCTGAATACAGTGTTGGAAGTAAAGCATGTTTTCTCAAAAATTAACAAGATGTCACTGTTATGGCCCTGTTGTGTGTGGTTTTTAAAATTGTTCCACTTGTGCTGAGGAATACTTATTCATTCATAGGGAGTGAAGGCAATCTGTAGCCATTAGTGAAAAAAAAATAGCATGGCTTTGTTACTTTACATTGACTTCTTGGAGTCTCTACTGGTTGTCTGGCAACCTCACTTTGACTGCGTCTCCAGGATGTCACTGTCTAGCCAAGAAACAGTCCTGCACATAACACCTTCATTAAAACCTATCAATTTCATGTATTATTATGTTTACAGATGAAGCAAACAGGATATGCCATGTTAATTGGTGAGATTTAGAGGTAGGTAGAGGTTGGTTCCATTTGGCCTGGACAGAGCCAGGCTATCCGTTTCCCACTGTTTGCAGTTTCTAGGCTAAGCTGAGCTAACCCGCTGCAGGATGTACCTTTGTATTTGACATGCAAGACTGATAATTATCTTCTCATCTAACTTTCAGTAAGAAAGTAAATAAACATATTCCCCAAAATATTGGACAGTTTGTTTAAAATAGGGCATTATTATAGTTAGGATGTCATTTAAATATGAGATTTGCTTCACATCAATTATGAAATCTGATATGGATCGAAAACACACTGTTCTGCTTTGCTTTCTAAACTCTGCACACACTTGCTTGAGCCCTGTGGTTAACCTTTAGTTAACCATATCTAATGATTCATCACTTTGCAGCACCAAACAGTAACAGCATGTTTTTTCATTTCATCTTCAAAGGTTCACATGTCCTACATCTACCCTTACGACTACACCCGACTCACACACATGGAGACAGAGGACAGCTGCTTCTACCCTGAGAGCTCCTACTACAAGAAGATGTGAGATCTCTGAGGACAAACATGAAAAATAAATTATACTGTAGATCCATAAGTAATAAGGCAAACTGTGTTACCCTATACTAATTGGGAATGCATACACTCGCTTGGCAGTTTATTAGGTACCTCTGCTTAAACTGCAGACTAATAAAGCAGTCCTGCAATAAATCCTCACTTCATGAAGGTGATAAAGTTCAGTTTTTTGTATAACACAGTACAGTTCAACAGCGCCACAAACTACATCTTCCAAAAGGTTCACACCGTTACCAGTACAGGGTGCTTCACTCTACTGACAAATTACATTTTACACAAATTTACACACCAGAAGATCAAACTGTTTATTTTTCTTTTTGTGTTCTCAAAGTAAAGTAACTTTAGCTCTCACTAAATTTTTGCAAACTTTGTTTTGTCTTCTTGTCTCCAGGTTTGGTTTCTCCAGATACATGAGACTAGACCATTCCGATATGCAGGGGAACAGAGATGCAGTCAGAGGTATTTTTTAACTTCTCTTTTCTTTAAACAAGCTGGGTTGGTTGTACAGTATTGTCAGTCCATTTAACTCTGCTTTTTTGTTTCTGCTTCTGATCAATTATAGATTTTGGTTTCCATGGGAGAAAATTGGTCCCAGATGAGGAGGAGGTTTACAATGAAGCCTATCAAAGAGAAAAGGAATCCAGGCCTGACCAGATAGATGACACACTTTTACTAGACAATGGATATCTTTATAATGATTACACTCAGAGACGTGGGCGTAAACTCTTCTCCTTAGTCATGCAAGAAACTAACAACACATTGAATTCTTCTTACATAAGACAGAACATAGATACGTTGAACAGACGTACAGGTCAAGACAGTGTCCCAGCACCTCAGCCAAAGCCACAGAAACCAGCTGAGCCCATGCTGTCAGTGACAACACAAGTCTCAAAACACCGCCTGCACATGCAACAAAAACGAACAGAATTGACAGTAGACGGCCCAGCTAAAAAAGTAAAACGGGTAAAACCAAAACAAAAAAGACCAGCAAAGAGACGAATGATAAAATCAGTAAAGACTACCGTGACACCAGGAGCGGCAAATCCACAGACACCAGTGGACGGAGACCAGCTTAAAGTGAAGGGACGACCAGTAGTCCCATCAGAGCAGCTCACATCTAAACAGAGTCTGCATAAAGGGAACCATACCCAAATTCAGAAACCCAAACGCTCAAAGCGTCAACCCTCAGGGAGGGATACTCCTCTGCCTATAAAACCCACAGCATCCAAGAAGGTGATGTCTCTCACTAGACAAACGGAGCAGCAGCCAGCTGCCAACACATTTTTCACTGTTCCCATTTTTCACGAGTTTTACAACAGGGCTGAGAACAGGAGAGTCACCAAGGATGGTGAGAGAGACTCTCTATGGGGACCGAGAGGAGACTTTGAAGATGATGAGGATATTACCCCTGCACCGGTGTTTGACACAGAGATCAACTGGAACCAGACCTTCCAGGTCAGCCATCTGGACCTTCAGGCAGAGCGCTCAGATTCGATCGATCTGCAATGCAACATCTCTGGCAACCTGCGGCTCCAGTCCCGTGATGCTCTGCCCATGGTCAAGGCTTTCATGGACCGACTCAATGAAAAGCACCATGGGTCAGTTTTGCATGCGCACTTGTGCCTGTGCATCACCTGAATCATGAGAAGCAGATTGAATATACACTCACCTGCCATTTTATTAGGTACACCTGTGCAGTTGTATGTAAATTCAGTGAAACACTTCCACCTTAGCATCTGTGTTTATTAAACTCAACAGGTGAGTGTATGTAGTGTTGCAGTGACTAGTCAAATATTAGATTAGTGTAATGACCGAAAATTAATGGATAACTATTTTGATAAATTATTCATTAAAGTCTGGGATGTACTTTTTCTGATTTTACAAATGCGAATGTTTTCAGATTTTCCTTCACTTCTGTTATAATAATCTTGAGTGTGTTTTCACTGCTGATCAGGTAAAACAAAACATTTAAAAATCTCACCATGGACTCCAGGATCTTACAATAGACATTTTTCACAGTTTTCTGGCACTTGATAGACCAAACAAATAATCAATTGTGAAAATAATTGATTAATTGATAATTAAAATAATAGAGGTCTCCATATACTTACAGTATATATTTAAGTTGTGGTCAGATTAACCAGAGTGATTTTCTCTTGTCAGATTATTTAATTTAAATAATTTTAGAGTCCTGTGGTGACAAGTCATTCAGCATTTCACAAAAAGAAAAAAGCACTATTAAAGTCTAAAAGATAGCTTTAAGTAGCAAAAATGCTCTTCTCCTTCCATCCTTCTCAATTTCTTCATCACCTTGTGACATGCCGGAAATATCTTAGAACTCCCAGGTGAGGGAACTACAGACCTGATTTAAAAATTGATGCTGGTATGTCATTCTTGCACGCTGAAAAACATTTGAAAATAACAGCTAAGTTATTCTGCAAAAAATGCTTTTCTAGTTGTTTTGAATGAGTGTATAGCATTTTTGAATTAAATATACTTCCATTATGTTAAAATAGCAAGTCAATCACATGCATAGATTTCACAGTCACAGCTATGCAGGCATGTCACTATGTGTTTTTGATGCTTTGCATCCTTGCAGGGAGTTCACATTGGCACGAGTGATTAACGTGGTGAAGCGTGTGGATGGGTACCAGGGCAGTCGCTACCTTCTGGAGCTGGAGCTGAGACGCCCAAATGGCCAGCTGGTGCGTCTGTCTCAGTACATCTACGTTTTGACTGGCCTCAGCGGGCGACGCAGCAGGGATTTTGGTTTCCAACAGCCAAAAGCTGAGCCGGTGCTGTGTAACCCAGTGGGCTTCCACTGGAATCCTGTTGCCACTGTCCACTTCATAGTCCCAGGTACTGTACATCCACCTATAACCATGCTGAGTTCAGCCTTTACTCTCACCACTTTCTGCTGTTTGCTTTCATGATGATGATATGTGATATTTAACAACTGAAGTCAAACATTTGACAAGCTAAAATCTAAAAACAACATCCTGGTCATGGTTTCATTATCTAAAAATAGATATTTAAATATGTCAATCAATTTTTAGAACAACATGTGCTGGGTGGTAGCCAGTGTGCAGGAAAAAGATTTTGAAAAGTAAAATGTAAATCACCTGATAAGAGGCCCATTCAATTCAGTTTTAACAGGTATTACCAGTACTCTTTATAGTGAATGTAATAGTGAAGAGAGCTGATTGTAGCTGGGTCTCATTATAGTATTGTGTGTGTGTGTGTGTGTGTGTGTGTGTGTGTGTGTACATCTCCCTCAGTGAAAAACCAGGCTCGGTGGGTGCAGCAGCTGATCGCTGACATGGAAACACTGTTCAGAGAAACCAGAGACACCAACTTCAACCTCATTATCACTGACTACAGCAGCACTGACATGGACGTGAGGAAAGCTCTAGAGAAATCCTCACTCCCTAGGTATGTTGGCCTCCCTTCCACACTGAATACAAACTTGTGAAGCTCATTGCACAAGATATGTCTATACTATATGTCTTTGAAACTGATCAGGTACCAGTATGTGAAGCTACGTGGAAACTTTGAGCGCTCAGCTGGTCTGCAAGCAGGCATCGACCTTGTAGATGTGAGTAGTGCAATATCACCCAGCAAAAAAATACCAAGAGGAACTTGCGTGCATAAGCACTAATAATAAATTGATTTTCTCATTCTACCTCAGGACAACCACAGCATAGTGTTTCTCTGTGACCTTCACATCCACATCCCTCCCTCCATCATTGATACCATCAGGAAACACTGTGTGGAGGGTCACATGGCTTTTGCTCCTATTGTCATGAGGCTGAATTGCGGGGCAACACCACTGGAGGCCAGAGGTAGATACACAAATACATCCACGGTTCCTTTTGTACATTGTAAATTTGAAAGTACTTCCTTTAGCGGAATTTTTTTTTTTTGGTGTTAAACTAAAACTTGAGTCATCAGTATCAGAAGGTTTTAAAATAAATAAGCACCCATTCTGTCTCAGCTAAGAACAATGCGATAACTGACATAAGCACATGAGCTTTGTTAGATATACAGCAACAAGGGAGACAGAGGAGAGAAGATGGACAATGTCATGGACAATGATGAGAAATATGAGGAACTCTGGTTTAGATTAACCATTTTAACTGCCATTCCCAGCTTTCTTTTTCGGCTCATCTCAGCATGCATTTGGACACACTGAGCAGATAAGATGTTCAAATGTTTCTGTATCAGTACTTCCCTCCTTTTTATTTTATTACTGACCTATTTAGGAAGCCTACTCTTCAATTTTATTTTTTTTAATTCAGGGATTCAGTCTTAGACAAGCAGATGTGTGACTCCAGACATGGGCAGGAAACTATGCCACAACCCTGAAGCTCATGTTGTTTTTTCATTGGCGTCTTTGATCAATTGACAAATCGTCTCCTCTGGCTACACCTAGTAACATGTGGCAGGTGTAAATTCATAAAAAAATGAGTGTTATGGTTCAGCTTTATTTCCTGTTCTGAGAGCTTTTATTTTGGTTACTTCCTTCCCTGCGTCATCTCGCCTGCCCCAGCTTTACCCCAGTACGAAATCACCATTCATTCCCGTGTTCCTCATTCCTGCCTGGTTTGTTCCTGACGACGTCCGCACGCTGTCGACTCCCCTGACTCTGTCCCCTTACCTATGAGTTCCTCTATCTCCCAGAGTCGCTGGTGTGTCTCCTGTCCCATATTCCCTGCTTTTGGTTCCTGACTCCCCAGTGACGCTGCCACCACTCCTGTCAAGCTCAACTTACCTGTTTGTTCCTGGTGCTCCAGCCACACCCACCACCACCAGCTCCCAGTTCCTAGCTCCACCTTAATTTTTTGGTATCCTTATTTTATAATAAAGACTTTCTAAGCTTCCTCCTAGTCTTGGTCTGCATTCTGGGTCCATTCCGAGCCTGAATCATAACAATGAGATCTTAAAGCAAAGGCAGAGGTCCCGATGAGACGTATTCTGTTGCACAGTCAGTATTTGAGGCATATACATGCAAGATAAAGAGATGTAGGACGTAGCTCATGAAAAACAGGTTGAAGTAAATGTAGCCACTGCAACATAATTTGAATGAAAATGTGAGAGTTGTGTGCATTTGCAGGTTACTGGGAGGTGAATGGCTTTGGCCTGCTGGGAATCTACAAGTCAGATCTGGATGCAGTGGGAGGAATGAACACCAAGGAATTCAGAGACCGCTGGGGAGGAGAGGACTGGGAGCTCCTTGACAGGTGTGATTCTCTCTTTCTTAAAGGTCACTTAATGGAGACGCTCAAGATGCTTGGGGTTTTAGTTTTGATTCATTTTCACCACTTTTTCATTCCTTTGACTTTTATTAGAAAAATTTGCCTTAAGCCTTTTTAACAACTAAAGGGAAAACGTCTGCAGAAACTTCCTTACATTTCTAGTCTCAACATAACATACCTTGCTGAATCAGCACATCACTAGCAACAAAAACCTCAACATTATAACCTTCATCAAGGTCTTGACTCTGCAACTAGTAAACAGCAGCACATCTACAAGCTGGCATTTTCAGCAATCTCAAGCATTCATGATAAAGAGTCACACTGAGTCAATAGGAATGACTAGAAATATCTGCCATAGTGCTGCTACTGACATTGATAATGGCCAGTCTTGCATGTACTGAGTTTAGTTCATGCATGTTCCTGACATCTTGTACTTCTGGAAAAAGTGGGTAATCACTGACTGTAGCAGATAGAGATAAAGAGGAATGGCATTTCTAAATACCTGCTGGAAGGCACTGACCATGATTTTGCTGTTAATACATAATGATGTATCTGCTGAAAAACTTGCTTCAAGCTGAGAAGGAAATGAAAAACAGTATCAATACGTAATGACACATCTGTGAGATTTTAAAAATCCAAAACTTTAAAGTGGCTAAAATTGATATTTTTATAATTCAAAATGTATCAGTTTTAACTGTGACAATGGAAGTGATAAACCTGAGGAGAATTATCACCTAAATCTACAGCTCCCTTCAGCTTTATGGTGTTGCAGCTCAATGTTAGGCTGTTCAGCCTGAAACTTTACTGTTTGGTTTATCATATTATGATTTTCGATGCAGTATGGGGGCAAAAGGCTCTAAAAACCTGCTGTACACTATCTGCTAGCAACTAGTATTAACATAGTGGAGCAGTTAGTGGCTGAAGAGCCCTCGAGTTGTTAGAGGCCAAAATAGGACCTAAAAGAAGAATGAATATTGGACATTCCTCAGGTGGCCAGAAGAACGACTCCAGATGAAAACTGTTGCTCCATAACTACTGGATATGTATATAGACTGTTTGCTATTAGGTTTGCCATATCAACTGGCAACATTTTGGAGACATTCACTTCACCTGGAACATGTGTCCCAACTTTTGATTAGTAGAGTGCAGTATGTGTCGGTGTCATTCACAACTTGTTTTAACTGCCCCCAAGGAGCAGAAACATCACTAAATGCAGGTTTAAGGCACTTTGAATTTTGAACTGAACAAAAGAAATGCATGCTTAACTTTTATTAGTTAGTTATGAAAGATACTGCCCAGTTCTTTCAACCAGGAACTCTGAGAGACGACGTAGACCACTTGGATATATAAAAAATATAACCGTGCTGGTTTATTCAAAGGATCACAGGCAAAATTAACATCACACGTCCAGGCATCTTCCACCTCCAGTACTGCGCGCAGGCAGCCCGGAAGATGAAAAAAGCCCCGAACCTAATAGCCTATACAATTTAATCACTTGGTTGGGCTAGCCCCATCCTACACAGGCAACGTCAAACCGTGACGTCACCTGATATGCCAGCTTGGCAGCTGACCAGAGCAGTAGTCAAAACATGGAGAAAATTAAAGTGTGTGGCTGTTGATTAGTGGTGTGTATCTAAAAACATACAGGACATTCAGGGACATGTCCGAACAGTAAGCCTCGGAAGATATTATGATTAAGATTACGGCTGAACATATCATGCTAATAACAATATTCATCCTGCCTGCAGACTCTTCAATCTAGTTGACCTTGGCCTAGATGCAGCCTGCAGAACTCATGACAATGAACTGAGCATTTAACAGCCTGAGCTAGACATCCTGGCTACACTAAACATTCCTATACAACAAGTATCTAATCAATATCTCACTGACTAAGAAATTACCTAACAGTTAGTATCTGTAGCTTTGCACTAAACATAACACAGGTAACTGTTTTAGATTGAGAGTAAGCCTCTTTTATTTAACATATTATTGATATCGTGACATAAAAGGTTTGGAAACACCTGCTCTGAAGGTTGACAAAAATGAAACACAGGTAAACAAATTCTCCTGTTCTCTAGGATCTTCCAGGCAGGACTGGAAGTGGAGAGGATCTTCCTGCGGAACTTCTACCACCACTATCACTCTAAACGTGGTATGTGGAACCGGCAGGTGATACCCAGCCACAGGTGACCTTGTCACCTACTGGTGCACCATGACAACCACCGTGACCAGAGCACTTTAAGTCCGGAACTTGATTCCTGCTACATAATCATAATACCTGCTGACCAATAAAAACAATGATACAGGATGCTGACCTGTCATACATAGGATTGATGCTGTCTTCATTCACTCAAGCTTTGTAAAACAGCAAATGACAAGTGGCAGCAGTGAAGGTCGTTGCTAAGGAGATGCTAATAATAGACTCGATGGATGTACTGACTACTAAGAGGGTACTGGCTGACAAGTGCCATTGACTATAAATGAAGATAATGTTGCACATCATGTTTCTGGCTGAGACCGTGATGTTCTGCACTACTGGCTGCAAGGAACTGGTCTGGCCCAAAGACGAAACATAAATTAGGGGGTGTATACATACAAGTGTCCTTTATCATAAAGATCACAAGCTTTGCACATGAGTCTTCACTGCAGGAACAAAAAAAACAAAGTTTAGTTTGTGACTAAATTAAGTCTTTGTATTTGATTCCAGATTGTGAATATGGAAAACACAGCCTTAGTTCTCATCTTTTAAATTATGAAAAACTTCATATTTATTTTAGCAACATTTGTGGGATTTTTCTTTTTCTAGAAACAATGACATTGCATGTGTACCTCAATCTGTTTGTTTTAGGAAACCTTCCCTACTTGTCCTCATTTATATTATTAGTGCCTTCTGCTGTGACTGTTATTCAGGTAATGGGGGCTGTTTTTACAGAATCAGGAAGAGCCTTAAACTTGAAAACTGATTAAATAAGAAAAAGAAACGCAGTCAAATCCAAAAATGACTTGACATCGTTCACACTGATGAGATATCAGAAAACTGAACCAGCGCATTACTGTGTGAATTTTGAATGTTTCTCATTTCTGCCAATAACCTCTATACTGTCATGCAAAGATAGCAGTTGAAAGTTGAGTAGTGCAGAAACTTTTGTTTTGAACATGGCAGCCTACTGAAAATCTGTCTAAATACTTCACTGAGGGCCATTTTTGTCAAGACCTGATTTTACTGTAATTTATGTATGTGGTCATGTCCAAATATCCTTTTTATTGATTTACCTGCTGAATCAAATGCATGAATTATTTTTTTGACTCCGTCTGTGAAGCTTAACAGTTAATTGTTTTTGCTGTCAATACAGTAAAATGGATAGGAAAAGTAGTGGGTGAAAATGATCTTGTGTATTTATCATATTGTTTTATTATTTATGACTAATGGTACAATTTACTGGTCATTCACATTCCGGTTTAACAAACTTGTGCATTTCTTCTTCATTTCAAATTAATATATGTTGAACTGTTTCACATTTACAACACAATTCGGGTCTGATGTCAGATGATGATGGTTTTATTTTATAAACACTGCCAAGAGTTGTATAATGCTTTATCTTTTTTTCTTGTAAATCTGGAAAAAAAAAATTTTTGTTTTGGCTCAAATGTTTTTCTGTGTTCCTCTGTCACTCTTCATCTCCTGTACTTCTTGTTTTTAGATATACCTCATCCTTGTTTTTATGTTGGGAGTTAACCTCTGCCTTATTCTGTGGTTTTGGAGTCTCTTCTCTCAGGGAAGATTTTACCATTTTACACTGCCTTGACAATTCTGAGGAATAAATTTCTCCAAAAATGTTTACCTTCAGTTTCATTTAAATCAGTGTACTTTTTAAATAGCTGTCATGCTGCAAATTGGTAATCTAGAAACATACTACAGATGTCTCAACATAGGTGGAAGCGGTCTTGTACAGAGTTAAGCTAACACCAAGACAAATAACTGGGTAACTGTGGAACATGAGTACCGCAACAATAATGACAGTGCTCTGACAGTATTCTGGCTTTTACACAACTTTACTGTTTTTGCACAGATGCTTAGCAGCATTCATAAATTCCTTAGGCTGCTCACTCCACCTCATCTCCCTTGCTCATGAAACCTCTATCATACTGTCACCCTGTGATGTCAATCCAAGAAAAGTGACTAGCATGTGAGTGGTGGGTGTTTGTTACTTAACAGGAATTCATTCCAGTGAGGAAGAAAAGCTCAGTATATCTGGCTCTGATAGAAAACGTCTCTGGTGATTTACCTTTGTAAGTCAGTGGGACAGTCTTTTCATAATTGTGTAAGTGGACACCCAGTTAGTTGCAATTGCAATTAAAATTCAATGTATAATATGGATGGGCAGTGATTAGCGCTGTCACCTCACAGCAAGAAGGTTCAAGTGTCAGCCCTGTGATAAACTAGTGACCTGTCCAGGGTGTACCCCGCCAATTGCCCCATGTCAGCTGGGATTGGCTCCAGCCCCCTCGCAACCCTCTTCAGCATAAGCGGTATAGATGATGGATGGATGGACAAAGCTACATTAATCTGTAAGTGTGACTTGAAAGGACCTTGCTTGCCCTGAACCCTTTTACTAATAAGCACACAACATAAAGTATCTTACAACTGAGATTATCAAAATTATTACAGTTTGTGTTTGTACTAAATTTCATAGTAATCCATCCAGCAGCTGTGACATTTCACTAAAGCAGTGAATGTGCACCACTTACTGGCATAGAAGAAAAGTCAGGTGATCACCACAGGCAATAATGTCCTGGGCACTGTAAATCTGTGCAAATTTTAATGGCTTTCCTTGTAGTAGTTTATAAAATATTTCAGTCTGGATCAAAGTGATGAATTGACCAACAGACTAACATTGCCTTCCCTGGAGCTATGTGATTAACATGAAACTAATCAAATTATGTGCAGCTAACGGAGGTGCAGTGAAAACATTTATTTTTGCCTTATTTTTATTTGTAAAGAAAGTTCTTCCAGTAACTCAACCGGTGATGTCAAAATTCTTTTTTTGCATCAACACTGAAGGCTATTAATAGTGACATCACCTTCTCAGGTTTTACAGTAGTAGTAGAACACTGTTTCAGTTTTGTCTAAATGTGTTATTACTGGGACACACGCAGTCCTGTGTAATATGACCACTTGTGTTGCTGTGTTTTATATAGATCCAGGTTCAGTATAGCTCCTTAGGCTGTTTCAGTGTTCACAAGACAGCCTGCTATAGTGTTTGTCAGCCAGGATTTCAGCTATTTAAGGAAGAATGTCATTCCCATTGAATATGGCTCATAAATGTATAAATCAATAAACTCTTATGTTTGTAGTGTATGTTGTATTATTAATCCAATTCTGAACTAGTAGGCCTAACCAAAGTTATCTAATAAATGTAATGGACTAAGAAGTGCTATATTTGCGACTGAAATGCAGTGAGGTCAAATAATGGAGTAGCAGAAAATGAAAATACTCAAGTACAATACAGATACCTCGAAATTGTGCTTAAGTACAGTACTTGAGTAAATGTACTTAATTACTGTCCACCACTGCTGATTCTAACCGGACAAATGTCAGAGTGGAGGTTAAAATGGATATGCATATTTACGGGGTGTACTGGAAGGCAGCACGTAGTTACTCACTGACCCTTGAAACCTCATTCATCATGGGCTGCATGCCTACCAAGCTAGACGTTCATGGGAGTTTGTTCCTTTATTCTGTTGGCTTTATGCTAATCAGCGTAATTAATTAGTAAGTCGGTCATAACGCTTCCCGTACAGTATAATAACAGGACCTATTTACCCGTAATACCAAGTGGGAACATTTCTAACTTGAAAGAGACTTTCCTGCATGGTGGACTGGGAACCAACGTCTCGTGTTATGGGAGAGACACGGAGGTCAGACGAGCGGTGGGTTGTCAACAACAATGTCGAAGTAAAAAGAGCCTGCAGCCGTTGTGACAGCTGTTTGTTGATATTGTAGCACTGGTAAGGACTGGTAAGCACTGTTAACATAGGTGGTGGCTTTGCATTATGAGTGTACAAACATGGCCGATCAGGTAACGTTAGAGCTACCAAGGTTCTGACTGCAATGCAGTTAACCTAAGTGGCTTCTTGCTAGCCTTGCCTCAGCCTCAGCTACTATAGTAGCTAGCTGCTAGTTACAACATAATTAAGTTAGCTAATTAACAATTGCTGACGTATTCATATGCAGCTGTTCAGTACATAACCAACTTTGAACCGAGTCAGTAAGCTATTTAGAACTAAGCTAAGCTAGAAGCGTTAAATGTCAGTTTAGCTTAGGGAAGCTAGCTTGTTAGCTAGTGAGCATGTAAATAGAAGAAGGGGCACGCCAACCTGTCAACAACACGTGTCCATGTAATTAGGAGTCTCAGTCTTCACACACAGCTTTTAGTGACACTGCAGTAGTGTCAGTTGAAAAGCCACTGACAGAGTTACTGATGTTGATAATATTTATTCACAGACACAACATACATTTTTATCATGCCTGGTAAGCTGAAAGCCAAAATTGTGGCAGGGCGTCACTTGCCTGTGATGGACAGAGCCAGTGACCTCACTGATGCATTTGTAGAGGTGGGTGAACAATAAGGCTCATTTTTAATATTGTGTATTTTGCATTTGGTTTCACATCATCCCAACGTCATTATGTAAATAGTAAATGATGTCTTGTGCATTTTATATCCCAGGTTAAGTTTGGAAACACAACCTTCAAAACAGATGTCTATCACAAATCCCTCAATCCACAGTGGAACTCAGAATGGTTCAAATTTGAGGTAAAATGTCTTTACTCATGGCAGACATTTGTTGTAACATTTTACTGCATCACTAAATGTAGCATTCCCAACATCTCACACTTTTATCGCTGCTCCCCTTTGTCTTCTTTTCCCGTCCTTCTGTTGCTGTCTAGGTTGATGATGAGGACTTGCAGGATGAACCACTGCAGGTCACAGTGTTGGACCATGACACTTACAGCGCTAACGATGCCATAGGGAAGGTTTACATTGACATTGACCCACTACTGTGCAGTGAGGCTGCCTCTGACATCTCTGGCTGGTTTCCTATCTATGATACCATCCACGGTACAATCAACTACTCTGACCATGATAATCCAGGCAGTGCTATTGGTTATTACATTTATTGATTTACATCTATTATTTTCTTTTAGGTATCCGAGGGGAGATCAATATCCTTGTCAAAGTGGAGCTCTTCAATGATTTAAACCGCTTCAGACAGTCTTCCTGTGGGGTCAAGTTCTTTTGCAGTATGTCTGACTTGACATTTGGTTCACAATTATTTGTTTACAGTTTGAAACATAAGACTTGGTTCGTATGCAAAAAATGCAGATTAACAGGACCCAGGACAGTTGCCTACAAAGCAATCTATGAAACATGTTTAATTCGAGAATATTATAGTTTGATTTAGGCATGTAGTTGATGCTCCTTTTTTTTTCCCCAATGAGTGCACTCGCATAAAAGATCAACAAAATTACATGTTGTCTCAGTGCAGTGTTCTTGTAAACAAGGAATTATCACTGAACTGTATGTGTTAAAAATGGAAAAACGGCTTCAAGAGAATGTTAACCTCTACTCTTTTTACTCTGTTTGGTGTTTATTTAATCGCGATTGTAGCCACATCCATTCCACAATGCTATCGGGCAGTGATGGTGCATGGGTTTGTGGAGGAACTTGTGGTGAACGAAGATCCGGAGTACCAGTGGATTGACCGAATTAGAACTCCCCGGGCCTCCAATGAGGCCCGGCAGAGGCTCATTTCTCTTATGTCTGGTAATAAAATTCACTGGAATCCTCTTTTCATGTTGGTGGAGAGGAAGAGGAATTTGGTTCTCCCTGTTCTCCCCCTCTCTTTTTTTACGTGACTCTGTGTTACCCCTCGTTTAGGAGAGCTGCAGAGGAAAATAGGGCTTAAGGTACTGGAAATGGGCGGGAATGCAGTGGTGGGCTACTTGCAGTGTTTTGATCTGGAGGGAGAGTCGGGTCTGGTGGTCCGGGCAATAGGTACCGCCTGCACATTGGACAAACTCAGCTGTGGAAGTGCCCCCAGTACCAGCACACATATGCACCCTAACACAGCACCTGCTTCCAATGCCTGCAGTTCCCCTTCTAAGGATGGAAAAGAGTGAGTATGAACCACCATCACAAGCATGCCTCTTTTATATGCAAGTTCCACTGCAAATCCAGTTTGTAAGAATGGGGAGAGATGATCTGTGTGTGCATAAGAGAGAGAGCGTATGGACAAAATTTACTGTATGTTAGTCTGTGAATAGTCTAGCAGTTACTCCTGTGTGTGTCTCAGTATCTTTTACTCTCCTTTGTAGTTTGTGTGTCCATTGTGTCACATGTATTGCATCATAAAACTAACAGCACACAATACATCCTGAGACACACACATGTACAGCACATACACGGTCATCCCCAGTCCCCGCCTCCCTTGTGGCTTTCTCCTCTGCCACTGCATGTTTTAGTAAGTATTCAGCACACGTGTTCTGCTCGATCTCTAAGAGCACGACCCTTCACTCTGGCTAATGAGTTGTCACTATGTAATGGCATCTAGTTAGTGTAAGCATAACTACAGTCTAGTGCATGTGTCTCTCTTATTTGCATTTATACACATTTTCTTTGTGCCAGTCTGTGTGAGATTCATTATCAGGGATGTGAACACTTTTGAGTGATGATTTGGATTATTTAATAGTCCCCTTCATGACCTGTGTGAATTTAATGAGAAAATATTTTTGTGATGGGGTAGGGAATGACATGAAATATATACTTGTTAGTTACAAAATTATGAAGCTATATAATGGGTCAAAACAAAGATGACAAGCCCGAATGAGTGTCTCTCTTTCTCCCTATTTTTGCAAGCTTGGCTGTAATTTGCCTTGGTCATGTGCTTATGGGGCCATTTTTTGCAGGATGTAGGGCTAAAAGACTGTTCCTAAAACATACCAATATACAATTTTCTTTACATTTTAATCTTTCTCTTTAACAGTTTATTTGATTAATTAAAGTTACCCTGACTGAGGATTTTGTACAGCATAAACTTGACTTGATTGAAATGAAAAGTTCAGTTTTATCATAGCTTGTCTTATTTGTCAACAGCATTCAGTGCTAATGGGCATAAAGAGAGATTCCAATACAATAATACAGTTTACACCACCAATTTGTATGATATTATTATTATTATTATTGTGTCAGATATTTAAGAATCTCACATCGCCTAGCTGATAATAATAATAAATACCTTTCTCTTTCTGACTTTTCTTTTGTTGTGTTTGCATCCCTGCGGCATATGTTCGTGTGAGACTGAAATGTTTAGCTGAGAGCTATGCATGACTTTCCTGCTGCTTTCATATTGCTTTAAATGGAATAATGGGCAAAGAGAGGGATGACAAATATAAAACCCTCTTTCTACTTCTTTTCCTTTTTGTCTCTTTTTTCACTCTGTTGCAATGTTGTGGTGTTGGTTGTCGTGTGTGTCTCTTTCTTCCTCTCTGGCTACATTTGGATTGCGATGTTTCCTCCTGCCTGTGCCCAAATTGGTCCTCTGTCTTCCTCTCTCTCTCTCTTTCTCCCTCTCTCCCTCTCTCTCTGTGCTGATTGGCCCAGGTCTCCCCTTGCCCATGGATGCCGCTCCACCCACAACAGCCCAGTGCATTCGGCCTGCAGCTCCCAGAGACTGTCCCAGAACTTCTCTGTCTCTGTTCCCACACTCGTCTTCACTGGTACGCAGAGGCAGGGAAGGAGAATAGACAGAGGAGAAAGAGAGGAAGTTTGACATACAAAGAGAAGTAGGTGGTGATGGTAATATGGAAGGAGAATGGTAAAGATATTTTTGCAGGAGTCTGGTAGGTTGGCAGCAGTGTAGTAGCAGTAACACCATGGTGTAGACAGTCATCAAATCTTTTTTTAGAGGAAAAGCCCAGCATTGATACTAGCCTGTCCTAGCCTGTTTTCTTTCCAACAATAGGGAGTTGTTTGTCAGGTTCCCAGCTGCATAGTTCTGCGTTATTATTGGCTGTTGGTAAACAAAAAGTGTTTAAGGTGTGACTTCAGGGCCTGTAATCGCTCTACAGTCACCCGACCTTTGCTTCACTCCACTGGGACACATGCTTTGGCTTGTCATCCTGTGTTGACTCTGACCTTCTTGTGTTTTGCCATGTCGCTTTCTTAAGTTCAGTGTGTCTGTTTGTGTGTTTTTGTGTTTATCAGATTTTTGCTTTCCATGCTTGCTTTTTTGTTCTGTAGCCACCTGTAGCACCTCGAACATACCTCACCCAAAGCAAAAAGTCAACACTGACCCGTATATGCACACAGGCAAAATCTCAGAGGATGAGGTGGTGACTGACGTCTGTATTTGTGTGTGTGTGTGTGTGTGTGTGTGTATGTGGTGTCATGTTCTCCTGGCAGGCCGTTATTTGGTGAGGACCTGCCCTCGTCCTCTGGCCCGCCTACCCCTTTCAGAGCCCTTCCCACCTCCTCCTCCTCTCCTCCCCCTTTCTCTCCCTTCAAGCCATGCAGCCGCCAGTCCTCATCATCAGACACAGACCTCAGTTTGACGCCCAAGACGGGTAAGAATACATGGCCCAACCCCCTTCTCATTCTCAGTCCTCCCTTCTCAGACACCTCATTGTGGTGCTACTGTGGTGGTGGATTTTGAATTTTGTTTACATTTTTAAAGGTTGATTTTAACATTATTTTATTGTCAGTGGCCTTGTAAATATTTATTTAGCTGTGTCCCATCCTCAGTGACCCAGTGTGTCTTCTTTTTCTTACTATCGAAAGATATTCTAGGCAGCCATTTCTTTGAATAAAGCATGGTCTTGATAGTGTGAAGATGCAACTAATCTCTGTATTAGTTCTCTCCCACTGTTGGAACTTTTGATAGAAACACTGTGTCTCATGAGGACCTGTTGTTGACCTAAAATCAATTTATTAGCAGCCACTATGGTTAATCATTGAGGACATGTAGGTTTAGTTTAACTCGGTCCTAATGACAAATGGATTACATTCCCAGCATAAATTCCATACAAACTGAAGAACATTCTTACCAGAACTGTTCACCTGAACCCTCATGAAGGGACCAGCAGTCCCCTTTAAGGCCACACGCCTCCAGCTTGTAACCCACACCTAAACTTCTCTTTTTCTTGTTTGCTTTTCTGTCTCCTTCTGTTTCTCAGTCTATCAGTTTTCCTTTTCTTTGCTCCTTTCTTCTCGAATTCACCATTTCATTTGTGTTAACTTCCTGCTACTGATTCCAGTACCTCAAATTAGAGTAGTTGCTTTTTGGGGTTTTTGTTTGTTTTTTTACTGACATCGTCAAAGAAACTGTAATCTTTGTGGTCCAGTCATGTCATGGTTGATACCTGATCTCCTAAATAATGTCAATGTTAAGTGTTGATACTGATCCAGCGTATTGGATCAGACTGACCATACTCCCCACTTTTTTGTTATCACATCTTCCTCCTCTTTTTGTTTTAGTGCTTCTACCCATTCTTCTCATTGCTCCTTCTTCCCATTCTCAGTGTATCTGTTTTTCTCTATGCAACCTTCATTTGTTTCTCTGCTGGACAGTCAAGTCCCAGCCAGTGAGACGCAGGCCTGGGATCTTCCTCTGCCCCAGCTCCCCCTTCCTCTCCACAGACATTCTGTCCATTCCTCGTTCTGGCTCAGTGGGTTGTGGTCACAGCTCTGCCCCCAGAGCCTCCACCCAGTTCCCTCATTCCTCCATCCACTTAGAATCTACCTTGCTGAGAAAGTGTGTGTCCTTCACCGAGGATCTGTTGCTGGCAGCCTCTGGTATAGTAGGACTTCTGTGTGTCATCAAATAACAAAGAGAACTTGAAAACAGTATAGTGTTGCTGTCTCTCTAGTGTATTATGACTGACAGCCTTGAGCCCTTCTCTGACTTCTTCTACCCCAGCATGTGGTTTGATGTGTTTGTCAGGCATACCCAGGCAAAATGTATACTATAGGGTAGTATTACAATGAGGCTGAAGCAGTACTGTTCTCAGTCAGAGGTATTGTGTGCAGTTCCAGCAGTTACATTCACTTCGTTTGTCATAAAAACATTAAAACCGCAATGTGATGATTAACTGACTGTTTGGCTTGTTTACTAATCCATTGACCTGTTTGAAAGGTGACAAAACTGTAGCTAGACTCTCCTCTGTTTGCAGGAATGGGCAGTGGGGGCAGTGGTGGGAAGGAGGCAGGGCCTTTGAAGACCCTGCTCAGACAACAGACACAGACAGCTCTCGAGCAGAGGGTATGGTATGCTCACACGTGCTTGTACTTGTATTTACTGGCTCATTCTACATGCAGAACTTTGAGAGCAAGATGCACAGCCAGTCAGTGCGTTCAGTGGGATTGGATTTCTTATAGCTTTTTGTTTCACAGTGGGACTTGACTGACAGGCCTCATCACTGCAGTCAAATACAGAAGAAAAAACAACACGATTCTATTTTCTAACCATAAGCAGCAACATGAGTCAGTGCAGTGAGCTAACTTGTTATCTTTTAATGTTTTTAGTTTCTTCTCAACTTGTTATCTTATCTTTTAATGTTTTTAGTTTCTTCTCTGTAAAGTACTTGGAAACTTAAGAAAAGTGCTATAACGTTTCATTAATAATTTTGATGCTTTGACATGCAGTTTGCCTCATGTCTGCACATAGGGCACACACATCTGTATTGTCTGTATTCTTCGCCAGTTCACATTGGTGAGGAGAGCGTGTTTAATGAAGAGTGGGTCTGTGCAAGAGCAAGTAATGTTCCTTTTCTCTGTCCTCTTGACCACATGTGCCACTCAGGGAGCGTCCTCTGGTTTATTGTTAAACGTCAGGGTATGTCCCATCACTCTCTCTCTCTCTCTCTCCACCTTTCCTCTAACACCTAGACCTAGGGCTGGACGATATGATGTGAAAAATGCAAAATTAAAATTAGTGTTTCCTCTGCTGTCACTAAACCTCCAGGGCGAGCAGTTTTCTGGGGTTATGACTGTAATGTAAGCTGTCAACGTTTTCTTGGAGACACCTGCATGTGTGAGCTGGTGTGAGCTTTGCCAGCATGGATGTATATTCATGGAATTTAAAAACACACCACTAATACCAGTAATAGCAATACAGGTTGGTGCATTTTTAAATTCCACGAGTATATTATGTGAGCTGGATGCCATGCCACCACACAGATGTTCGCAGTGCTGCAACAAAAAATCCTTTGCAGGGGCAGTATAGGAAACACTAATGTGCAATGAGCTGCAGAATGTGGAAACAAACCCAGAAGAAAGAAAAATGTTTGCCACATGCACCACAGGAGCAACTTTCAGTGGGAAGAATGTGCACCATGATAGTAAAACCATTACCACTGCCCTTGGCAGAGGTGAAAAGGTAGTTGTGCTTCCTATGTGAAATGATTTGATTCCTTGAGAATGAAAACCTACCCCCTAGAATTTGGAATGATGATATCATAATTAGTTTAAACGCAAGAGACATGAACAATTGCTAAATGCCACAAATGGCTAAATAAATGTCCCATGCAGATTGAAATGAAAATGTCTACTTACAGTTCTTTATAGATGACACAACTGACACCATTTGGCTGCATGTAAATCCTCTTCAGGAAGCACGTTGGAAAATGGGTTACATCTCATTAGCTCCCCCCATCTTCGTTCCATGTGCTGAGCAGCCTTACTAGTGATGTGTTTCTTTGTTAATGTTACACATACTACTGAAAAAAATCAAGATTAAATCATTTTGGTCATATCGCTCAGCCATACCTTGACCGACTGATGGCCACCGCTCAGTCCAAATCGACTCCTAACCCATCCATCCTCTGCAGTTTGTAGATCTCAGAGGGGCAGGCTGGGTTGAGCAACATAGCAGTGGGTCCTCGTTTGACCTTGTTTGCTTGGTACCAACCTCACTCTAAAAGATTCACATTTGGCGGAGGGCTGGAGGCTAGGACTTGTTTTCCCTTCAGTGTGTGTGTGTGTGTGTGTGTGTGTGTGTGTGTGTGTGTGTGTGTGCGTGCTTGCCTTCTGGACACTCGTGTCAACAACTCCCTCCTTTCCAACTTCTTTTCCTGAGTCTGAGTTTTTGTTTCCTGTGTCAGTTAATGAGAATGAGCACACTGACCTCATCACCTCATTCTGGCCTCCTGACAGTGAAATTAGCGCCATCACCCTTCCTGGAGTTCTGAACAAGAAAGAAACTAATGGTAGCCCCACCCAGTGCCCTCTAAAGCCATTCATCACATATACCTGCGTTGTTGGAAATCAGTGTCCCTTAGGTTTTCTGTAAAAGAGGTTATCACTTCAAACTAGAATGAGTAGTGAAATGCTTTTCATATTTACAGCTCCTGTGTGCGTGCTCTTCACTTTCAACTTCAAACCTAATTAATGTATTTATATAAATTTGAAAGGACTGAATGAACCACTAAATCAGTGATACAAAATTTCTATGCTTTATTTTCTTAGCTACTTCCAGATCTATTTAAAATGCTTCAGTGTTTGTTTTTATGCTCTAATGGAATTGTTGGAGGATGAGGATATAGTTCACAGTGTTTGGAACATTAGAAAAACAGGTGTATTTTATCAGACCATTTTTGCAGTACACCCAAGAGACAACAAAATCTATACTTTTTGGAGATATTTATTCTTCCCTTTTGCATAATTATTCATAATTAGTATCTTAGAAAGTTGGGGTGATATGTAACCAGAATGTATGCATATATTTTTATATTGCATATTTAACATTAGATGTTGGTTTTAAGCATAGTGTCTTTAACAATTTTCTTTTACCTGTAATACTCAAACTTAGCCATCATGTGATGTTCAGAACAGTCACCAAATATAACACTTAAACAATGGGATATTATAGACATAAATTACAGTTAATATAATAATTGTGGAACAATCAATAAAAATAATTAGCAAAAATATACTGGAAAGGTCTAATGGTGTGTTTCCCCCCTACTGTAAGTGATCCTGGCTGTTTTCTATCTACAGGAGTTTCCCTTCTTTACTTTGACATCTTTCCCTCCTGGCTTTCTGGTTCATGTCGGTGGAGTGGTCAGTGCACGTTCTGTCAAACTGCTAGACCGCATACACAACCCTGGTGAGTTCAGCGCACACAAACACACACTGTCCTAAAGTAGCTCATCCACTGTTCTGTGAAACAATATGAGTGAGATCCACAGTGAAACTACTGTATTTTGTGAGTGTCCGGTTGTGTTGCAAGTAGCTGTTAGTTAATGCTGCCCATCATCCTTTTGTGTTGAACAGCTTTCCTGTATTAGCAAAAATATACTGGTCCTGGTTCAAATCTGTTTGATTGTGTAGATAAATTATGTTGAAAGAATTCACGTACAAGTCCTCAAGCAGGTGAAAGCTGTTCCTGGTCACATTTATAGGCTGCAGCTTTTAGACATTTTGGTGGTAATGAAGTGCGGATAATCTATCATCACCTGTGTCAAACAGTGTTATGGATAGGGGCAACTTTCACCCTGTGGTTGAACTGACTGGCTGTGTTATTTGTAGTCTGTGCTGGTTATGCTTATGGCTCTGTGTGTGTATGCTCTGGGCACTGTGTTTTTGTGTGCTGTGGTACTGCCCCCCCTGGAGGTGAGGTGCATGTCTTCAGTCTGTTGCCTGCTTCTTCAGTTGTGTTGTGGTGAGGAACTGTGGTGTTTTACAGTGGGTACGGAAAGTATTCAGACCCCCTTACATTTTTCACTCTTTGTTATATTGCAGCCATATGCTAAAATCATTTAAGTTCATTTTTTTCCTCATTAATGTACACACAGCACCCCATATTGACAGAAAAACACAGAATTTTTGACATTTTTGCAGATTTATTAAAAAAGAAAAACTGAAATATCACATGGTCATAAGTATTCAGACCCTTTGCTCAGTATTTAGTAGAAGCACCCTTTTGAGCTAATACAGCCATGAGTCTTTTTGGGAATGATGCAACAAGTTTTTCACACCTGCATTTGGGGATCCTCTGCCATTCCTCCTTGCAGATCCTCTCCAGTTCTGTCAGGTTGGATGGTAAACGTTGGTGGACAGCCATTTTCAGGTCTCTCCAGAGATGCTCAATTGGGTTTAAGTCAGGGCTCTGGCTGGGCCATTCAAGAACAGTCACGGAGTTGTTGTGAAGCCACTCCTTCGTTATTTTAGCTGTGTGCTTAGGGTCATTGTCTTGTTGGAAGGTGAACCTTTGGCCCAGTCTGAGGTCCTGAGCACTCTGGAGAAGGTTTTCGTCCAGGATATCCCTGTACTTGGCCGCATTCATCCTTCCCTCGATTGCAACCAGTCGTCCTGTCCCTGCAGCTGAAAAACACCCCCATAGCATGATGCTGCCACCACCATGCTTCACTGTTGGGACTGTATTGGACAGGTGATGAGCAGTGCCTGGTTTTCTCCACACATACCGCTTAGAATTAAGGCCAAAAAGTTCTATCTTGGTCTCATCAGACCAGAGAATCTTATTTCTCACCATCTTGGAGTCCTTCAGGTGTTTTTTTAGCAAACTCCATGCGGGCTTTCATGTGTCTTGCACTGAGGAGAGGCTTCTGTCGGGGCACTCTGCCCTAAAGCCCCGACTGGTGGAGGGCTGCAGTGATGGTTGACTTTTTACAACTTTCTCCCATCTCCCGACTGCATCTCTGGAGCTCAGCCACAGTCATCTTTGGGTTCTTCTGTACCTCTCTCACCAAGGCTCTTCTCCCCCGATAGCTCAGTTTGGCCGGACGGCCAGCTCTAGGAAGGGTTCTGGTCGTCCCAAACGTCTTCCATTTAAGGATTATGGAGGCCACTGTGCTCTTTGGAACCTTAAGTGCAGCAGAAATTTTTTTGTAACCTTGGCCAGATCTGTGCCTTGCCACAATTCTGTCTGTGAGCTCTTCAGGCAGTTCCTTTGACCTCATGATTCTCATTTGCTCTGACATGCAGTGTGAGCTGTAGGGTCTTATATAGACAGGTGTGTGGCTTTTCTAATCACGTCCAATCAGTATAATCAAACACCGCTGGACTCAAATGAAGGTGTAGAACCATCTCAGGGATGATCAGAAGAAATGGACAGTACCTAAGTTAAATATATGAGTGTCACAGCGAAGGGTCTGAATACTTATGACCATGTGATATTTCAGTTTTTCTTTTTTAATAAATCTGCAAAAATGTCAAAAATTCTGTGTTTTTCTGTCAATATGGGGTGCTGTGTGTACATTAATGAGGAAAAAAATGAACTTAAATGATTTTAGCATATGGCTGCAATATAACAAAGAGTGAAAAATTTAAGGGGGTCTGAATACTTTCTGTACCCACTGTATATAGCTCTGCTCTGCTGCCTGGAGCTTTCAAGTAGGCTTCTCATCTGTGTTGAATTCCTACTGTTTTTTATTATGTAGACTGTTTAATTAGATTTATATTGATGACAATCACAATTGTTCATTAGGCGAATACCTGCCTAGTGAAGGTGCTGGACTATTACTGATAGTAATATTTCCTTATGGTTGGTTTAATGGTTTTTGACCAGTGTGAATTGAGGATGTATGAGAATTTAGAGAGTGCTGATGAATGCTGGCTGGGTTAGGATAAGCAGGGTTCTTTTCAGATGTGGGCAGGGGAACTAAAATAAGTGAGCCAAAAGTGATTTTACTAATAATCTGCAAAAAGTTCTAGGCATGACCCAAATTGCAAGTTTAAAGGATCAGGTTGGTCATTTTCTGTACCAGTAATACTTTCAACAGTCCCCATACAGAGAGTAAAACCAACAATGAATTGCCTCTACTCACAGTTAATGTACGTCAGTCTCCAACCTGAATTAGCTTATTTGTCTGTGCCATAGACCTCAGTTGTTCAGAATTGATTAAAAATAAAAATTTCCTTCAGTGAAACACACTGCTTCACTGGGTGACTACTTTTTCATTTTGAAACACCAGACTCTCAGATTTGTTAAAAATGTTGCCCCAAAAGCCCCAAACGGCCGTAATTTGTCCACAGTAGCCAGACTCAGCTGTGCAAACTCTGCTTTGTGTACAGTCTGCTAGCTCCTCACACTTTCATAGAGATCGCGTGCATGCACAGTTGACACACAGTGCAGCATTGTTTTTAATTGTTTTTGAACAGCATTAGATGAACAAGATAATCCAGGACTGAGATTGAGAGACATTAATCACGGGTAGAGGCAATGCTTTGTGGGTTTTAGTCTCTGTATGGAGATAGTAGAGGCAATGCATTGTTGGTTTTAGTCTCTGTATGGAGATTTGTTGAAATACTGTTAATATAGAAAATGACCTGCCTTGTGCTTTAACTTGAAACCATTGTGAAGAGAGCCCTGTTCACTGTTGCTATTCCTTGACTATATCAATAACAGAGCAACATTAAGGGTACCCTGTGAAGTTATAAGCAGTACTATGGACCATTGGATTGTGCATGAGGTAGCACACACATAAGTGATGTGATGGAGATGTGAGGCATACTTAGTGAACTGTTTTGAGGCTATTCCACTGATCAACACTAAGTGATGTAATGCACAGCAATTCAAAATATTGATATAGTTGATATTATTTACATATGTTTCATAAGGAATCTCTGTTAGACCTCAGTGATACATAGTGTGGTTTGGTGAAAGGCTCTGAATGTAAATATTAGGGTCATTTGTTACATGTAAAACTGTTTACTGGAGAACTCCACAGGGTACCTTTACTTCTAGTATACTCACTAAATTCAGACTGCATGATAGTTTTTGTAATATAAAGTGTCTTTCCTCTGTCGGTCTTAAAATTTGGCTAGGTCTGTTCTCATCTCTATACTTCTCTTGTTCTCATCTGTTTTTCTGTTTTGAGGTTGTTTTAGTAGGCCTGAATTTAGCTCGTCTTTGCATAGTCACTGTGAAGTGCTGTCTGTCTTTGCATAGTGATTGTGGATTTTACTTCTAGTATACTCACTAAATTTAGACTGCATGATAGTTTTTGTAATATGAAGTGTCTTTCCTCTGTCAGTCTTAAAATTTGGCTAGGTCTGTTCTCATCTCTATACTTCTCTTGTTCTCATCTGTTTTTCTGTTTTGAGGTTGTTTTAGTAGGCCTGGATTTAGCTCGTCTTTGCATAGTCACTGTGAAGTGCTGTCTGTCTTTGCATAGTGATTGTGGAGTGCTGCTGTTGAGCTGTGCTTGTTTGTTAGACTGTCTCTATTCTTTTCTCTCTTTTCTGTACTAACGGTGTGTTCTGGCCCAGCCTTGGGTAACACGCGCTCGTACAAACTGCTAGACTGGAATAGTGTCACTGCAGGTATTTCCCCCCTTTTACTGCTCTCACCAACTGGAGTGATGGCAGCTCAGTGAACTTCTGCCCTATTTAAATCTATCCAACACTGACATTTTGACCAACATAGACCAGCGACCCTGGTTATTCGCAAAAAGATTTAATGTTAGCCTTGATAGTGTCTCTGAAAACCAGTGAATTCATTGAGCTGCCATCCTCCTCTCTCTAATCTGTTTGAGTGTGTGCTGAGCTGAGTTGCGCATGTGCTGTGTCCCCACCCCACCCCACCCCACCCCATCAAGCCTGGCCTGGCTAGCCCCCACCCAGCTCATCCTGCTGCACAGAAGAGCTACAGCTCTTCTCTAATGTTGTCCTAGCGCCGTTTCTAACGCTTCCTTAATTGGCATCGTGGTCAAACCTGTCTAGACCAATAGAGGTTTAGGAGGTTTACTCTGTGACTGATACACTGACCGGACATGTGCATCCCTAACACCCTGGGCCGTATTCATACTGTGAAAGAGAGAGAAGGAAGGAGGGATGGATGGATGGAAGGAAGGAAAGGTGGCAGGCTGATTGGATGGGTGGCAGTTGAGGAAATTTAAAAAAAGGATGTGGGATGTATGATGAGGATGGAAGGAAAGAGGTGAGCTTTGGGGATGGAGGAAGTATGATAGATGTCAGTATTCTCTAACTTAAAAAGCAGACTAGATTTAATGGACTCTGGTGAATGAATATGGCCCTTCTCTGCCCATGAGTGTGCACATGGTCATGGGCATGTACTTTGGTGAGCCTGTGTCTGTGCGACATGCTGGTTTTGGTTTAAAGGAACCCACCTTGTGGGCCTGACCATCAGTCATTATTTTTCATCTTTTCAGTTGATCTCCTATTTGTTTGTTCCTCATTCATTCCTCTCCCCTGTCTCACCTAGCAGCTGAGTTTCTCTTTTTCTGGGGCCCTTTCAGCATGTGGCCCTCCCCGGGAGTCATGGGGTGCAGCTCAATACTCTAATGTAGCTTCCTTCATGTGTTCAGTGATCCAGAATTACCAAAAGAGATTAAACTCACAACTTGCAGCGATTAGGCTCTTCTGAACAATGTCAATAAAATCGACTTAGTATTTAAGTAAAGCCTCATAAGACTATTGAAACACACCCATGGTTTAGCCTAATTATGATGAAGGCTTAATCCCTTGTGAATGTAAAGGTTTTTTCATCAGAGTAGGAAACTCCTTTTACACATCAGGTATTGTGTCTTTTACGTAATTACACTTGAGTCAGCCAGCAAGATTTTCTTTCTATATCACAGGCAAAACATACCAGTGGTTGGCAGTTATTCCTGCTATTTCTCACTTGTGTCCTTTCTGATAGTGCAGCTGACTGAAAGGATATATAGAGAAGAGAGAGACAGTATGTTTTAGATAATGTGCACACACACACACACAACTAATCTCACCACTCACTTTGCCTTCATCATCATTCACAAACAATCATAAGTCATTATAATTGTCACTGTTAAAAATAATAGTTGGTTGGCTTGCTTTGATACACCATTTATCCCATTAATCATCAGAAAACATGAACTGTACTGTTTGCTGTTTGTTTATTTTCTAGTACGTTAAAGCAGTCAAATTAGATGCCAGATTAGACACTAATTTAGTTTTTTTTTTTCCCCTATGTTGATGTCAGCAGTTTTGTCTTAACTTATGGTTAGCTAGAAGTAAGTGCTTATTGTGGTTTAATAGATAATTAACCTGTTTAGAAATGTTTTGTTGAAAGTTGTTTGATTTAGTTTTGTGTTTTGCAGATGAACCAGAGACTCGTGATGCCTGGTGGGAGGAGATTCGCCAGGAGATCAAATCTCACGCCAAAGCGCTTGGTTGCCATGCTGTTGTGGGATATAATGAGAGCACTAGCATCTGGTGTGTAATAGTACATGCATCTAAAAACGCTACCCTTTTCTATTCTTTTTTACCAGCTCATCCTGTTGTTGAATCATTGTTTTAAACCAGTATTATAAATCCTGTCTTTCTTGACTTCTCCTCCTCCTCTCAACTCAGCGAGGAGGTGTGTATCCTGTCAGCGTCAGGCACAGCAGCCATCCTCAATGCTCGGTACATGCGTGAAGGCTGTCTTGACATCGGAAGCACAGATCACAGGTTGTATTTGTTTGTACCTGTTTGCATGTGTTTGATTCAGAATCCCAGCATTAATTCTTGTATGGGTGGATGGATGGATGGAAAGAAGAAAGGAACGAATGAATGAATGAATGAATGAATAATAAATAAATAATACCTTACTTAAACCTATTTAATATGTCCAAATGGAAATTCCAGTGTTGCAGCAGCCACTTCACAATTTATAGAAACAAATGAGGTATGCAAGGATTTTTAAAATGCAAAAAATATACAAAAGTTATATAAAGTAAAAAAAACCAAACAACAAAGTTTAAAAATATATAAAAGAAATAAAGCTAGAAAAATAGAATAAAGCATGTGTACCTATGCACCATATCCAGTACTATGATACATTGTACTGTACATTAAGGTGCATCCATGGATATTAATTGTACAATGAACATGTATATAATAAATTCTTTGTCAAAGGAGTTTTTTTTTTCTCAACACAGAAGAGAATTGCTGTATAGGGTGATTGCCAGTTGGTAGGAAAGACTTCCTGTACCATTCTTTGTCACAGCAGAGATGAAGAAGTCTCTTACTGAACATGTTCTGCTGTTTGACCAGTAGGTTATGGAGGGGATGCCAGATGTTCCCTATTCCCTATTTAATAGTTTGTGACAGAAACACATGAACAGAAGCTGCTGCAACAGGCTGCCATTGTAGTGTCGCTGACTTACAATTTCAGTTCAGATCATGATACCAGAGGGTATGTGTTGTTCACCAGGTTTGAGGAGCCATCTCCCCCAAGCTGTGGCTTCTGTCACATCCCATATGATGAGTTCAACATGCCGTTTCCTGCTCAGCTCACCTACTGTTGCCACTGCAGACGACAGAAGGTCTTAAATATGTAGTTTAATTCATATGAAAGTATGTTGCATTCACCGATTCACAAAAGAAAAAAAGATAACGTCTCAAGTACTTATGACTTATAGTATTATCTAATTAGGAGATAAGATCTCATAATGACTAGATAAAGTACAATTAGCAGAGGAATTAGTTTATAACTGTTGACACGAATGAAGATTTGACATTTAACGTGACACTTTCAAAAACACTGCAGTATGTTTAAAAAAAAGCTGAAGCTCATATTCATTATATCAATAGTCCACATAGGATAGTCAGTTAAATTAGGTCTCAGTTTTCAAATTGTGATGATTCATAATCAGTATAACCTTTTATGAATCCTGATCTTCGGATGTTGTCATTAAGAGAAAATGTTAAATGCCTTCACTTGATTGAACAGATATAAAATTTTACAAGAAATCAGACGTATAATGTTGCTACGGATGCACCGAGTTACGCTGTCGGCTACAACATGGGCCTTGTTTTTTTTGGTTTGGTTTGGTTTTTTTAACCAATATTTGTTTAAATTTTGGAAAATTTATGTAAGGTGAATAAGCCATTAATAGTTCGCTTTTGCTGGGTGTTTTGACAACTATTACTGATTTACTTTGATACTGAAGAAATCTTAAAAACCTGGTGATTCTCTGCCAAGCTCGGAAGCGGTCCAGTTCCTGCAACATCTTTTCTCATAATTAAAAGATATGGCCTTCAATTATTTTCCTTTTGTGAATGCGGTACATTTCTGTAAAATGATAAAGATATGATTTTTCTTTCAGTTTACAATTGCATATTAGTTAAAAAAGGTATGAATTAACTATTATTGTTTTGTGTGTGTGTGTGTGTGTGTGTTGGGGGGGGCGTTGTTTGTTTTTGTTTTTGTTTTGGTTTTTCATCTAGGTTCCTGATGTGTTATTCACAACAATTGATCTGCCACCAGATGCGGCTGTCACAGGGAAGGGTTGCCTCATCCAGGCCAGGTAAAACACCTCACAGTTAAATGGCTCCAAACCCTTTAAAATGGCTGCCAGCACTGAGAAGAATCATATCAAATCAAGTTAAACCTGTTTCTTTTATAACAAGTGCTTTATTTCATATAGAAATGATACAAAAGATTGTAAAAAAAAAAATCATCTTTAAATAATAACTTTAAACATACAAAAAATAACTTTAATACCTTCTTGTAGACTGTGTCGTCTAAAGAAGAAAGCTCAGGGTGAAGTGAATGCGACAGCCATCTCCAACCTGTTGCCTTTCATGGAATATGAGCTGCACACTCAGCTAATGAACAAACTGAAGCTGCGGAGCATGAACGCACTGTTTGGTCTACACATACAGATCAGTGTTGGCGAGAACATGCTCCTGGGTTTGGCTGTAGGTTAATACTTTAGGTTAATGGCTTAATCAACCATACATGTGTTTTGTGCAACATAACCCTTAAAATGTGTGCATGTTCAGTCTGCTACAGGCGTATACTTGACTGCTCTGCCTGCACCAGGGGGCATTCAGATCGCAGGGAAGAGTCCAGGTGACCTGAGTAATGAGCACCACATCCTCACCATCCAGAAGAGAATCACTGACACCATAGCCAAGAACAAAGAGCTCTATCAAATAAACACTCCGGTGAGACACCACACCCTTATGCCGGGTTTCTACTGCTAACTAGATCTCTACTCGGACTCATTTCAGTACTGCAGTAGCCAGAGTGCCAGGACACAGCCCATGATATAGTCAGTGGGTGCATTCCAAAACCCAATCGGCACGGTGCCGGTTTGCACTGGGTGGATATGGTTTACATTCCATTTAAATTCGGCACATGAAATGGCACATGCCGCTTGTGCCAACCTGAAGCCACGTCAAATTGGCACATCAACAAAACAACACGTGGAGTCCAATAGAACGGTGAACAGCAGCCTGTTTGTGGTCAGAAAATGTGGGCACCACATCCTCCTAGTAGCCCACTACTGGGAGGGGTCTAATACATCATATCATTTCCTCATCCTGCACTACATTTAAACAAGTTTCCCCACCCTTGCTGGTACATAACAAGTGGTGTGTCAGCACAGGGAAATGGAGCACAGCCAATGTGAAACTCTAACACAAATGTAAATACTGTAAATGGAAAGCTTTGAGAGCTGTTTCAACCAAAAGGATGGAGATTTTGTAGTTCTGATGTGTAAACTTGGCATTTATTCTTATTCCAGACTTAGCATCATGCGTTCTTCATCATTATGCAGCTCCCAGCAGGAACCACATTTTCATAAAATGGTTTTTGGGCATTCATGACAGAAAATTATCTTTTTCAGTATATCATATTTGAATACTTAAGATTTGTGCCTCTGTGTCACAGTGTTTCGTCAATTCTATTTATTTTTTTTTTTTTCTTCACAAAATAAACATGGTGATCTTTATAGGGAAACAGATTTGTTCAAATCATATAATGAAACATTATATTTAGTCTGTTCTTTGTGGATAATGATAAATATATGCTTTGTCTCTCCCTGGTGAATAAAGAAATTATTTACCCTGGACCCTGAGGTGAACGGCGGCATAAACATGGTACTGAGCATGGCAAGTTTTAGCTGCAAGACACAGCAAAGCATGACAGATATTTCTTTTTCTATTAATTGCAGTACTACTACACCACTTATACTAGAACTGTTGCTCTTAAGTGGCCACATTTGGGAGCAGGACTATGTGGAGCTTACTCTAGTCACCACGCAAGGGCAAACCTCAGTAGACTCATTATATCTGTGTTAATGCATTAGCACTACCCTGCCCATTGACACACTCACCTGTGTATTTTTTTATGGTGTGTATACAGTATGTGTGTGTATTTGTGCCACTCCTTACTTCCAGAACTCATGTTAACACCAGCCATTTGTATGTAATTGGCATCTGGTTGATTACTTGACTGAATGTGAGCATGTGTAGTCTCCATTAATGTTCTGCCAGCTGTACAGATTGGAAACATACGAGATGCAAAAGTGTAGTGGTCTGGTGTTCACCTTGACATCTTGTCTGCTCAGGCCTTGTGTCACTTTACTTGCAGGAGCTGACAGAAGAAGTGGTGGGTTCTCCGATCCCTGAGTCGAGGCAACGAACCAGACTTTTTCGCTCACACTCCGAGAGCTCAGATGAACTGTCAGAACTGGACCTCTCCCATGGCAAGAAGGATGCCTTTGTCCTGGAGGTATGTATCCTTAAAAGTGAATAAGCTTTTTATGTCTGTGTATCCACAGACAAGATAAGCATAACTGTATGTTGTTGTTTAAATAGATGGATGACACTGATGCTGTGGAGAACATCCATTTCCTCCTCACTGATGCCTCTCCCCCTACAGGTATGTGTCATCCGTTCACTTCACAGCAGCTGAAGTACATGCACATCATTGGCCAGTTATCTTCTGACTGGGTCAAGACCCTAACAGAAGTCATTTTTTCCCTGCTTCATCATCACTGTATCTATTTCCACTTTGTCTCCAGGTTTCTACAGCTGCAACACTGAGATCATGCCTGGGATTTACAACTGGACTTCAGGAGTACAGGTCACTTTTTATTTTATTATTTACATTATTATACTCCTTTATAGTCTTGTTTCCTTTACAGATTATAGCAAAACATGTCATGTTCACCAAACTCTAATTTGTTAGAGTAACCTGTGCACTGTATTGTGCTGTAATTTAGGAAAACAGGCCATTCTGTAACTATTTGTACCACTGTCCTACAGATGTTTACATCGGTGAGGGTGTTGAGGTTGAGTAATGCTAATCTCACCAACCAAGGGTTGAACAAGATCTTCACTGACCTATGTGAAAATCTGCTAAAGGTAAGGAACTCTTAATCAGTCAGTAATGATGCCAAAGGTGGTGTCATGCTGATCCTTTGTGATGGGCACGGTGACTTTAAAATAATGAACAGGCTAAGAGCTCCCAGGAGTGAAGCCATTGGGATGTGAACGCCCCCAGTAGCTGGTTGCAGTATAGGTCATAAATCCTGCCACCTCCATGTTAGTAATGGGATGAACCAAACTCAAAGTACAAAGCAAATTTTTCCCAGAGGTCACTTCTGTGGTTTTTGATGGATATTATCACGCTGATGTGTGTACAAGTGATCACTTTTCTGGTAAGTTTGTTTCAAATAACTTATTTGATGATATAAAAAAAGATGTATTTCAGGTGATTTGACAGCTGTGATTGGCAGTCTGATGCTGCCACTCTACCTCTGGTTGCTGCTGTGCGGAATCTGGTTTCAAAAAAGCAAGATGGCAGCCGCTGTATTCACGATATTTTGGTTTCACTTGTGCATAGTGGAGGGAAGTGTTGATACCATGTCCATTGTATGTATGTGGATGGTTTATATTGTGGTACTTGCCATAGTTGTATTTTGAATCATGAAATACAATCTGTAATTGATCATATCTGTTTCAGAGTTTTTACTTCAAGTTGCGCTCTATGATCCCCTGCTGTCTTTGTCATCTAAAATTCACTGTAGCGGTGCCAGAAGAAGAACTCATACAGGTGACAAGTCTCAGACCATCAATTACTTGTGAAATTGCTTACAGGACAGAATTGACTGAAAATGTACTACTGTACCTCTCTTCCTCACAGGTTACAGTGACAGCAGTTTCTATGACATTTGACAAGAACCAGATTCAAGAGAAGCTCACAGACAAGCCCATCACCAAAGGTCTGTCTGGTTACAGTTCTGTGGAGGTTTTGGTGAACATCATAATTTTTACTACATACCTGAAGTTATGAGTAGTTTTTTTTTTTTTTATGTGTGTGCATGCATTTTAGCTGAGCTAAATTTCTGAATGGCTATAGGGCCAGTTGCAGCTCTGCTCATATTGATGAAAGCATGCCTCTGACAGCACTGACATTTAATACAATGTTCTCATTGATCAAGTGTTAGCAGTTTTATTAAGAAAAAAACTTCCAAATGTGCATGCAAAATCCTAACAATTGCTGCTGTTTTATTTTCTTTGTTTTAGTTTTATTTGTTGCCAGTCAAATTAGTTGTGTGTAAATTTCCAAATATAGTTTAATTAGAGAAGCCACCTACTTTATCTTTGAAAAGATTTTATAAGTGTTGTAAAGTGTCCTGAGACAACTTTTGTTGTGATTTGGCACTATACATTGATTTGAATGTCTCTGAACAGTGGTGGCACAGCGGCTGTTGCCTCACAACCAAAAGGTTCTGGGTTAGAGTCGGGCCTAACCCAAGGCCTTTCTGTGCAGACTTTGCATATTCTCCCTGTGCCTGGGTACTCCGTCTTCCTCCCAAAGTCCAGAGACATGCAGTTTAGGTTGATTGGTGACTCTAAATTGCCCATACGAGTGAATTTGAGTGTGTGTGGTTGTTTGTCTACATGTCAGCCCTGTGATAGACTGACGACCCAGGGTGCACTAGCCCCCCCGCTGGATAAGCGGTGTAAATAATGGATGGAGATCTAATGTTAATATTTAATACTAACATTAGGCATCTTACCTCAGTTAATGCATGACTATGGGATCAAGCACCTCCGCTCAGAGATCCATCTATCCATCCATCATCTATACAGCTTATTCCTGAATAAGGTCACGGCGGGCCTGGAGCCAATTAGACATCTTACCTCTAAATACTGAATATTTACTGTAGCCAACCTTGAACTCAGGCACTCAGGCTCGTCTCAGTGGTAGTAAAGTGTGAAAACTGAACTAACCTTTTAACGCCACACTTCTCTAAACACTGTCGCCCTTTCAGGAATGACCACCTCTGTTGTGTGTTTGAAATTTAAGCATCTGGGTGATTGTGTCTGTATCTTTTCAGGGTCCAGTGAGACTGAAGAGCAGCTGCAGTTTCCCTTGGAGTTGAGTGCAGACTTGTCATCCACCAGCACTCAGCCATCATCCAAAATCTCAGGTAGCCTGTAACTGTGTTTTAGTTGTTCCATGACCTCTTCCTCTGCCCTGCTTCACTAACAGGCATTGCCCTTCTCCTCAACTAACACTTCAGGTACAGTCTCTTTACTCGCCCCAGCTGCAGAACTCTGCCAAAATCAGCTGGTTAGGGTTCATTCAGCAGGCAAACAAACAGTGATGGGGTGTAGCCCAGTGTGTCGTGTTTTGGATGACACTATAATGCTGTCTAGGTGAAATGCTGTGCTCCTAAAGCATTGTGGCTTACCTTCCATCCACAGGAAAAGACAGAGACAAGAGCAAGTACAGACTATAGATAGATTTACAGAACATTTAGATTTGGGGCGATGGTTAAAGTTTAAAAATACATGCTTGGTACATGCAGACAAAGTTGACCCTGAACTCTTGCTTTCTGTTAAGTGTGAATTGTAGACTTTAATGTTTTTGTGTGTGACAGGTGTCCCAGAGAATACCAGTGTCTCACCCAGAGGTAAGCCTTCTCCTTGTCTTCAGTTTCACCCTGCCATACCTCTGCTACCAAAACTATTACACTCCCGGTTTTGACTTTCCATACTTTTTTTTTATCAGACAGAGTTATGTGCACTGCTCTCAGACCTCATCCACGTTTGTTCTTTTCTGTTCTTCTCTTCGTTTTTGTGTCCCGTTTTTTTGTTATTGTTTTCTTTCTCTCTCTTGTTGTCATTGTTGCGTTTGTATGTTTGGGTGTGGGTGTGTTTGTGTGTCCAGCTGCCTCCGTTGATTACGGTTCCTTTGCAGACAGATGCAGCACCTGGCTAGAGCTGCTTAGGCTGAAAGCTCACACCATAAGACGAGGATCAGTTAAGACAAGTAGGAGGACACAGTTTCTAGCACACTCTGGTGATCATAACCCACAGATACAGAACAGTCTCACAACCAGTTGCGCACACACACACACTTGCACGCATATACTCACACATGCCTCCATGCATGCTGCTGGGGGGCGGAGGACCATAAAATCAAGAACCAGCTTTTTAGCTAGAGTGTGAAAGTTGAAGCCCCGCCCCTCAGAGGGATCCACAATCAGCAGCTTGGCTTTGAAATGCCTGTAGCCATGGTAATTTGAAATAGATGGAAGTGATTTTTTTTGTTTGTTTGTTTGTTTTTTTGCAGCCTTTTCCCCATATTCACTTGTCTAGATCTGTAAGGGTTTGGATTTTTTGTAGCAATTTATGCAAAGGTCCTTTGATTTTATCCTGCATTTGCATTACTGAATCACCTGAAGCTGAGAAAACACTACATGTTATGAAGAATATAAAAATGCTAAAATATCTTATGTCTGAATACATGCAATGTGTAAAGATCACAGGGAGGTGGAGGACACTGCTTTTCTGTAAGAACTGGTATGACTTTCAGTCCTGTGCACAGTAAGTGAACTACAATCTAATGTGTGGCTCTGAAGGTTCCTGGTTTGATGGATGTGTAAGCCACATCAGGTAAATGTACTTAAAATGATGGCGCATCTTTCACACTCTGGCTCATGTACATGTGCCCAGCTCAGCTCATAGCTATCTCTGTTTGTCTGCATTTCTCAAGCCTCTTTCACAAATGCAAAACAAATATATAAATATTCTCTCCTGCACTTCACTGTACTTCATATACAGTACCTCTAAAAAGTATTCACCCCCCTTGGATGTTTTACCCTTTTCTTGATTTTATAAATCAGTCATGGTCAATACAAATTGGCTTTTTTGACAAAAAAAATTACAAAAAACCTTTTTAATGTCAAAGTGAAAACCGGTTTCTGCAAAATAATGTCAATTAAATAAAAATATGTAATGGGAAATAACTGATCACATAAATATTCACCTCCTTTAAAATGACTGACCTAATTCAACAGAGGTCCAGCCAACTGATGCTAGTAATCTCACCATTAGTGAAATGGGGATCACCTGAGTGCAGTGAATGTGTCACCTGTACCTGTGTCTGGAAGGTCCAGTCACTGGACCTGTTTAGTTGACATTACTTTGTAGAGACTTGTTTTCACTTTGACATTAAAGAGGTTTTTTTGTAATTTTTTTTTCAAAAAGGCCAAATTATATTGACCATGATTGATTTATAAAATCAATAAAAGGGTAAAACATCCAAGGGGGTGAATGCTTGTTATAGGCACTGTACTGTATTCACACACATACACAGCTGTGCCCAGGTCTGTCTGTCTGCAGACACTGTTGTAACTCTCTGTCTGTTTGCTTCAACTGCATGGCATGCATGGCAGCGTGATTTTCTTGGCACCTTGCATCCACACCACTGCATGTAAAGTCTCAAATGTATCTAATGCACAAACAACTGATTTACTCACAGATACTGGAAGTGCACATACATTACTCTTGCTAGGCAAATGCTAACACAGTTGCATTTTTGCACACATTCCACATTCACATTTTTGTTTTCTGCTTTAAAGTCCATATTTGCTTGTTATTTTTCCACTGTTTCTGAGTGTGTTCTGGTATCTCCATTCCTGTTTGCCTTTTTTCCCCTCCCCTCCTCTTATTGTCTTCTGACGTCACCCTCCTCTGGACCTCTCTACCTGCTCTCTCTAAACCTACAGTCTCATCTTTGGAACGTTGCAGTCCACTGCCTGAGGGACGTTCCCGCTCGCTGCGCTCCAGTCGCTCATCTGGGGGCAGTTCAGTCACAGTAGTGAGGATGACACCTCTGTCCTTCCTCCCTGGGACAAATATCATTAAATACCTTGGGATCATCAACATGTTTTTTATCAGAGAGACAACATCATTACGGGAGGTATGGGTGACATGACATCAGAAAGTCACAATCTGTTTTCACCCCAGGGGCATCTTGTGCAAAATGTAGAGATACCCCTACAGATGAAATGTGTTTGTCCTCTGCAGGAAGGTGGCGTTAGTGGCTTCCTTCATGCATTCATAGCAGAGGTGTTTGCAATGGTTCGTGCTCATGTAGCAGCTCTCGGTGGCAACGCACTGGTGTC